TAGTCTTGGTCAAGAAAGGAGAAAGTGTCACAAATGAATACAATGGAAATCTTTGGTCACAAGTCAAGTTTTATTCCTTCTCTTTGGGGAATATGCTCTCTGTCACTGGCTCCTGCCTGTGTTACTGTAAGTTCCATGTGTGTGTACTTGTAAATTTATTTGCAACCACACAGATTAACTATTCCAACAGGAAGCGTGTGAACTACTGGTAGTTCACTGGCTGCTGCAAAGTAACTTGTGGATCCTCTAGAACACCCAGGAAAACACTTGCTCTAGGCTTTTTCGAAAAGCTTTTATTTCATAGGATTTTTTCCTCTTGTGCTGTTTGGTTGACAGCTCTGTTTTTGGTGGTCTGTTCTAGTAGAGAACAAAGTTTGGTAACGTTCTGGGCCAGGGGCTGATTAGGATATTTTTCGCTTAGAAGTAGCTTTAAGTAAAGAAAAGGTTGGTGATCCCTGAACTGCTCAGATATGATAAAGAGAGAATATAGTTCTATGTACAGTTGGGTAGTAAATACGGAGAAGTTACCCCCAATTATCCAGTTTCCGTGCTACATCACATTTAATCAACATGAATCAGATCCAGAGGTTCCATATGGTTAACTGGATCCTTTCTCCAGTGGAATGGGCATATGCTCAACTGGTGGAGGAGTTCTTGTACACCAGGAAAACTCTACCATTAGTGGAATTTGGATCCAACCTGCTGTGAGGAGGGAAGGCTGCATGGTATAGTCCTTGAAGCTGAGCAGGGTCAATGCTTGGACAGACCACCAAGGAAAGCTCTACGGAGGAAGCCAGTGGCAAACCAACTCTGTTTCTCACTTGCCTCTAAAGAGCCTTGCAGGTGTAGCCGTAAGTTGGCTGAGACTTGGCAGCACATAAGTATGTACTATATTGTGAAGCACTATACTGGGCTTCTGTTTGGGTTCTTGATCAGGCAAGTTTATTTTCTAGGTATCATCTTGTAATAAATGTTATTGTCCCCTTTCAAATGGCCCAGGAGGAAAGCAGGGTTGGAATACTCAAGGCCTATAGTGCAGCCTTATGAAGAAGATCTGAAGATCATCCTACAGGGGGACAGCTGAAGGACTTGTAGTAAGACTAGAGACTTCCCACTTTTTCAAACTGTGCCCTTGCTGTCTCCTGATTGGCTCTTCTGGAGACTTCCTGCTCTCTCTTCTATGTTCTATAACAGTTTGTTCTTCTTTAATAAACCTACTTATTTGTAAACCTACTTTTCTCTCTCTGAACAGTTAGTGCTCCACTTCCTTGCACATTTAAACTCTGCCAACAAGCAGAAGGCATGCTGCAGGAAACAAACTGTTACAGGAGAGGGAATTCCTATCCTCAGTAGCAGAGGAAATCCTAGGAAGAAGCCCATGTATAAAAAGTCCAAATGAGTAATGGAAGTGAGTCAAGAGCAGCAGCTGCATTGTTAGATCAGATTCACTTCAGTTCTGAACTCAAAACCCTCCTCTTCCCAATGCCTGTGACGATCACTCAGCACGGGCCCAATACGGCGCACCATCACTAAGGAAATGGTGGCTTGTCCTCTGCTGTTGTAGTAAGCTGAACATTCACCTCCGGCTGCTGGCCCACTCCAGCCCCTCCTGCTTGGCTTTCAGAAAAGGGCAGAGAATCAATGCAGGAGCGCTTGGCCCCAAGGGTTGGTGCTGCATTAGGGCTTCTTTGGGTAGCTGCTATTGGGGGGGTGGGGTGTTGACCAAGATTGATTTTGATAATGGTTTGTGGTAATCTGCTTATTTACATGTCATGTTCTAAGCTGGGAGCCACCCTGAGCATTAGAAGAAGGCAGGCGATGAATATTTTACACAGAACTCTGACCCGGTGGGTGGTTCTGAACGTAAGAGCAGCCCTGCTGTCTTAGATCCCGAAGGTCTACTAAGACCAACGCTCTCTTTCATACAGTGGTCGGCCTAATGCCCTCTGGGGGATTATACTTGCTTCTCTTAAAATGTTTGCATATGTGTGTGTTACCCTGTAATACTGCATGCCAGTGACTGTGCAGCACACCTGTCTCTGAACAGAACCACGCTCCTACATGGCCACGGCAGGGATGGGTTTTTGAATGCTGGGGCAAATGTATGCAAATACTGTAAGCAACTGCTGTTTATTGCTTGGAAAAGGGTATGGATTTAGCTGCTGCTGTGGAAGTAAGACTGGGTGTGAGAAATACTATGTTGGCATATTTTCATCACTTGTTGTGGCATAGTGTGAGCACTGTGAGCTGTCACTGGACATTAGGCAATCAAGATGATGATGTGGGTTGATGCCACTAGGTGGTGTGACATTTGAACCGAGAAGGGTCTGGCTCACAGCCATAATGCTAAAAGCTTCTCAACGGGGCACTCTCAGAAAGTGGTGTGAAAACAATTCTCAGATGCTTTGGCAATCAATTGCTAAAGCATAGTCAGGAGGATATGTTAACTGTAGTTTTTGACGAATGCATCAGAAGGCATGTTTTTATTAGCATCTGAATTGGAAACAAGGTACTCGGGCCTGTCAAGGTAAAGCATTTTTAAGTCCTATAAGAGTCCAAAACATATGAGAATTATTCACATGCACAATTCTCACACTGAAATCAATAGAACTACAAAAGGCTTCACAGTGGGACTCGTATCCATAATGGCAAATGTACTATTACAAAAATTAAGAAAGAATTGATTGGTGACAAAAATAATACCAAAATGTAAGCATGCAGCCCTTTATTTTTGAAAAGGTGTGGTTTTTTTCCTTTTTGCAGCTGTATATTATATATTATGGAGTTGTACAAATAAAATATTTACAAAAAGAACACTCTAGTTTTGCAAACGTGATGGTTTTAAACCGCTTCCCACAACACTTTCACCCTCAAACTGTATCTTCATGTTGACCTTCTCCCAAAGCATATTTTAGAACATGCATAAACACAACCTTTGGTGTTGAAAACTACTCTATGTGCCCAGCCACATACAGTATTTCTTTATTTATATTTATATATATATATTTATATATGTACAAAGGTTTTCCATTATACAGAACAGTAGAGAAAAATACACCTTCTTTTTTTTTTTAATCCAGACTGAAAAACAACATGATTTACCCAGGTCTCAATAGAATGGGAAATGAAGGAAGCTAAAAGAATCAACAAATGCCTAAAAGTGAAAACAATTATTTTTCCCCCTTGGCATCGCAACTTATTAAATATAATCTGAATGGCAGTGCAGTTGCCTTGTACACATCAATGTCCATCTCAGCTCGGTTGCTTGTGTACAGGAAGTGTCCAGCATACTACTTATCAAATGTACATTATAGTATCAAATGTTTCGGCAAAAAAGATATTTTTAAAGTAACCATGAAGTTTTGTCGACAAAAATAGAAATCTGTAACAAATCTAAATAACACTAAAATAAAAGAAAAATATTTTAGTTTCGGTTTTTATAATTTTGCATTATATAGCACGATGTTTAGTTCTTAAAAATAGCTTTATACAAAACAACTCATTTTTTTCTTTTAATAATAGACTTCTTTTCATGCTCGATACATTTCTGTGCGCGCATACTTTTAATTCATTCACACCCTGCTCTTCTGTTCATAACCGCTTCTAGCTAAAGGATGGGGAAGAGAAAACCCACTCTGGCATTTCAACAGCAATGAATGCTTACAAAACTACTTGTTTCTCTAATTTCTAATACCTATCCAATATTTACCACAAATTTAGTATTAAGCTTCAAATGATACAGAAAAAAATGGTATACATTCCTCAGCTACGATAATCAGTTGCAATTTCCTCAGAAACTGGGAAGCCTTTGGTGAATTCTCACGGGCCAGTACAGAGCTTTTAAGATGGCTCCTTGGTGGCGGTGGAAGATGGATTGGGCTTGCTGACACTTCCGTTCTGTGATTTGTAGCTGGTGAAGCTGGGCGTGTGGATTGACCGGATGCTCTTCACACCTTGATTCAGTGAGGTGGGGGAGGTGGAAGAGGGAGAGGAGGAGGAGAAGGAAGATGGAGGAAGAGGGGTTGGCCGGCCATTTTGAGTCTGTATTGAGAATGAAAGATGGTGGTGACTTTTACCTGTGTGAGTAGGATTCTGGAGCTTGAGGGAGCCGTTAGAGACGGAGGGGATTAAGGAGGTAGAGTGAGAGCTACGACCTGTTGAAGGACTGAGAGGGTTAGAAGGAGGAACAGAGGCTTTAGCAGGCGGGCTGAGAAGGTTAGTGCTATCGCCACTAGATACAGAGCTACTTTTCCCAGAGGTGGAAGAAAAGGCTGGAATTTTTGAAGCAGGTAGGGTAGGGGAAGTAGCCTTATAGTCCCCACCAGCTTTCTTAGCACTTCCATTAGCCTGTAAATAAAGATGGTGGGAGACAGTTTAAGTCAGCATACATGATCAATAAAAAAAGTGACGGCATGGGAAATTAGGTTTACAAAGAACAGGAATTAATAGTTTGAAGCCTGCACTAAAACTTGTCACAGCGGATTGGACCTGGTGGATCTCCCCCACGCACACATACGCGGAACGTGAATGCACAAAGTGGGAAGAAGCTGAAAGGAGGGGGGGGGAGGGAGAGAGAGAGTGGGAGGGTGACGCCACAACATCAGGACTGAGCATCAAACCGGCCATGCGTCAAGATTGTTATGAGGAGGGAACACATTTCGGCAGATGGTTAATATGCGCTGACTGCAATCTTGTTAACCAGGGAGTTAGTATCAACGGCTGCCTCTGAAATGCTTCCCGTCACCTGACACTTCAAAAAATTACAACTGAGTACTCAAACAAAACCCCCAAAAGCAGGAGATGTTTTTACTGCAGACATGCACAAGCATGATAAAAAAGGACGACAGCTTCATGCCCCCCTCTCCCAAGCCCGGGATTTCCATTTCCAGATTTCAATGAGAAGACAATGTCCATTATTTGGTATCATCCAGGTCAATCACTGGACTTCACCAAAACACATCAAAACACACCACAGCTTTAAGTCCGTCCCAAGACTGGGCTTAGGGTAAAACTACCTGTCTGTACTGCCGCTGGTCCTGTAGTTTGTGTGGTTTGCTTGGTTTGTCAACACTTCCAGGTTGTCTACTTTTTGTGGCAGCCGGGACTGGCATTCTGCTTGTCTGTGAACTGCTCGGTGAACTCTGTGAGAGAGGTTGGGGTGCAAAAGGAGGAGAGGGACAAGGGAAATGTAGGTGAATATCGGTCTGTTTGCCACAGGGAGGACTGTGCGCCAGGAGCCAAGCGGCTTTGTGTGAGAAGCCAAAGCCCTACATGCACAGGAAGCACCAAAATAATTCACACCCAAAGTTTCACCACAGGTGTTAATTCAGGAATCAAGAATAGAAGGGTAAAGGCTCAGTTACTGATCAACCAAAATTTAAACTTTCCCAGGTGCTCTTGCACCCACGACAGAATTGTCACACCGAGCTCTCCTCTATTTCCCATCACCAAAATCAACAAGATAGATTTGTTGTTGTTTTCTTTAAAAAAAACACACCACACGTTCTATTAGCCGTTAGAAACCTCGTGGATGCACCAAACAAGCCACCCAAAAGGAAGCAAACCAATCAAAAGACACCTCTTACTTAATAGTGATTATGATTATGATTATTATTATTGCGGGTTTTAGAAAGCAGCGGGCGATGTGATTTCTCATACTAAAGTGTACCTTACGTGAAGTCGGAGAAGGGGACTCTACATCGGCATTATTCTCTTCCAGCGCTATGGGCTCTTTGGTTGGGGGGGAAACGGGGGCAGGGACTCCTCCCAATCGGCACGTGGTTTCGGAAACTGATTTTGGACTCATCTCGCTAATGGTGCTCTCCAGCTGCTTAATGGTCTGCTCCAGGCTGTCCAGAGTTCTGTAAGTGTTTTTCCTAATTTCATCTGTCCTCGATATTTGGGCTGCAGCATCTGCCTCTTGTTTCCCAGAAGGGTTGTCAGGCCGAGAACTGGGGATTTCAAACCTTTGAGCCTCTTTGTGTTGTTTGAGAGTCCCGTCTTCCTCCTCTTCTTCGTATACTACAACCTGCAACGTTTTCTTGCCAGTTTTGGTTCCTGTGCGGATTGCCTGTGTAAGAGCAGCCAGCTGCTTTTTGGGGAATTTAAACTTAAATTTCTTCTTAGCGTCCGCAGCCTCTGGTTTTGTTTCTAGATGCGGCCCACAAATGTGACTAGACTTCCTGCCATCCAGCTTATCAGTTTCCTGCTCTTCAAGGAGTTTGGGTTGGGCTGGCAAGCGAGACGAAGTCTGAAGTCTGTATTGCTGCTCGAATCTGCAATTTGTTAAATAATCCATGGAATGCCTCTGACTACTCTCTGTCTGGGTAACTGCATATTCCTTGGCAGGGCATGGGTCAGAGCCTTCCTCTTCTTCATCTTCTTCCTCGATCTTCTCCTCCATCATCTTCTCCAGTTCTTCATCACATTCTTCAAAGATTGTTGAAAGTCTTTTATAAGCTGCTCTGATGTCCATTGGTTCATCAAAAATTATGATGACTGGTTTTTTGTCCAAGCAAACAACCGAATCGTCGCTTTCAGGATTCTCTGGCACGTTATGCTCGGATGCCTTTTCCTTTTTAGAATCAATGTTAACAGTCTGTACGTCATCTCCCTTCTTGTTTACTATATCATGGACTTCTCCACTTGACAGCGCCTGAACTGCTGTTTTGGTAATCATAAAAGCAATGTTCTCCGATGGTGGGGTTTCTTCATCTGGAGAACTAGTTGGAGACTCCACCTCATCAATGTTATTTAAGGTAATGTTCCTAGACATTTTATGCCTTAGTACTACATGATTGTGGCCACTATCAGGCATTTCTTGCTCCTGCAACGATCTAGGAGCCTTAGTTTGCAAGTCTGTTTGCCTGGCCAGAGGTGCCCCTGAGTTTTCTAGCAACTCATTCTGGGGTGCACTGTATCCAGTCTCAGTTGCTACTCCATAGCTTAGTTTTTGCCTTCCAGATTCCACAGCTGGACCTTCAGCTCCCCTTTCTCGTTCATTTTCTATCGAATGGATACTGGAGATGCTTATGTTTGGCTTAAGATAATTTTGCTTGGCATAATCCTTACTGTCCAAAAGCAAATCCTTGCTGAAGGTCAAGTTTTCAGGCTTTGGAAAGCTAGCTTTATTTCCATTAATGCTGGAAGCATCCAAACCCATCTCTTCTGTTTTTCCTCCTGGCTTGTCCTTGGGGTGGTCATTATCTTTTGATGCCTCCCCACACACCTAGGGGGAAGAGTTGGATTACTTAGTTACTGACGGATAAAACTTTCTTTTTTTAAAGGACTGGATCTATGTCCCCCCAAATTAATCGGCATATCATCAGCAGATAAGGCACAGATAATGTGAACTTGCCACTCTGTACATCACTGCAGAGTCATTTCCATGGTCTTCATCTGACTTCTGTGCATCTTCAGAGGCGATTCCACATTCTGGCAGAACAGCGCATTTCATGTTACTGCACTGAACTATGTATGCAGTCAACATGGGTTCTAGATGGAGATGGTCCTTTAAACAACCCCTCTGTGGAGCTTATGCCATGACTGGTTACAACACCACTGGTACAACATGGCTTCATCTTGACCTAAATATAAGAGTCCTTTTTTCATCACTTGTTTTGTATCAGACAGAAACCTTTTTTTTTAATGATAGGTGGTTCTGCATAACAAGCAAGCTACTCCGTACTGGGTGTTTGTCAGTTTAGAGAGACTTGCCACTCTAGTACAACCATTCCCCCTACACTGGGTTGCTCAAGCACAACGTGGCTGTTTAGCTAGCTTTCCATTGCCTTAAATACTGATGTCTTAAGTGCTGTGCTGGGGCACAAACCGTCAAAGAATATAACTGAGCATGGACTTTTAGATCCAGGGGAAGTGCCTACCTGAGCAAGAAGCGGTAGGCCAAAGTATTGCCCCTGACACACCAACAAAGTGGCATATACTAGCTAAAGGGGTCATTAGCACAAACAAACAGTTGCAGCTCCTCCCAGAAGTAAAATGCAACCACAGTTTCTGCTTGAATCAGCTGTGTCTGCCGCCATAGCCCCATCCACTCTGAAACCGCCGTTCAGTATATTTTCTCCCTGTACACCTGAACTTTAGATCCTGCTTGGAACATCATGGAAGCTCCTTTCTGTGCATGAGTGCTGGGGAGCGTGTTATCACTTATGCCTTACCCATTCAGTCCAACTGGATCTAGAATCACATTGCTGGATTGTAGTCCAGGGAGAAAACACTTGCTGTTTAGAAGGTAACCATGACTTTGTTACCAGTACACCTTTACTACAGCCAGCCAGGCTACACACAGACATGTAGTGGTACAAAACACTTGCTGTTTAGAAGGTAACCATGACTTTGTTACCAGTACACCTTTACTACAGCCAGCCAGGCTACACACAGACATGTAATGGTACAATAGAGTCGGTAAGGCGTAGTGGTTATAGTGCTAGACTAGGATCTGGGAGTTCCACTCTCCTATGGTAGCCTGCATGGGCCATTGACACATTCTCAGCCTAACCCAGACCACAGGGCTGTCAGAAGGCTAAAACAGAGGAGACCAACGTAAGCCGCTTTGGCTCCCCGTTGGGAAGAAAGGTGAGTTACAAATGGAGCAAATAAATAAAATAGATTCAGTGGTGGTTACAAATGTCAATTACAGTTTAGTATGTTCTAATTGCATAGAGGAGGTGCAACAGCCACACAGTGTGGGTATCAAAGGACAGCTCAGCCTCATTAAATTCTATGGGTTTAGCCACTCTCTAAAATGGCGACTGCTGTTGTCACACTAATAGAAAAAGAAAGCCATCACAGACACAAGTGAATCGTTTGTCTTTCAGTACAGAAGTCTTGATGTTTCACATATACCTGAGATAGCAAATGACAGAAGAGAAAAGGACTGTCTGCAAGGAGAGTCCAAGTGGCAGCTGAAACTTACTACAGCCATGCAGGTGTGGTTTGGTTAGCACTGAACAGTGTGACCCACCCGTCCAAAGATCAAGCCTTGGAAACCAGATGAATAAAGTGTCATGCTTATTAGGCCAGACTGAAGGGAAAGACGTCCAGGTAGTCAGTGAGGAGACATTGTTTCATGTGCGGGCAGCAATAGTCTGGCGTGTCCACAGGCTGGAACCTATGAAATTCTATGGCTCAGAGCCAGCTTGGGTGGTGGTTCCAGTGAGACTAGGCTCTGGGAGGCCCAGGTTCAAATCCCCACACTGCTATGAAAACTCACTGGGTGACCTTGGACCAGTCACACTTTCTCTCTCTCAGCCTCAACGGGGTGCTTCTTTGCGAGGATAAACTGGAGGAGGCGAGACCTATTCTTGTAAGCCACTTTGGGTCTCCACTGGGGTGAAATATAGGGTATAAATATAATTTATATTTATGGCCTACCCACAGCATGCTATACAGTATACAGAGCACAGACGCGGTGGCATCAGAAGCTGTTTCTCTCAGCCATCGCATCTGGGAACGCTGTATTCTCCTCTGTGATGTCTCTGGGTATTGGCTCAAGTAAATTAAATCCTGCAACCTCTCCTTCTTTCTCTCTTGGGATGCTGCATTTTACTTGGACTGACGTGTTGTGTTGTGTGATGCGCACCTTGTCCCTGAACTGGTCTAGATTGGGGGTGGGGGGGGAGGACAGCCTTTGCTAGGGAGGATGGGTGGGAGTGATCCTAGCCTTTAGGATGAGGGATGGAACAACATGGCTTCCAGTGGCTTCAAATGTTAGATTTTCCAAGTAGTAGCTTATGAACGCCTCGTGATCTAACTTCTCTCTGAATTACTCTTCTGTTGTAAGCCACCCTGAGCCCTGCTCAGTCTAAAAATCTAATTAAATAAATAAAATAAACAAAATAAATGAATATCACTCCAATGATTTTTAAACCCGAAGGTGGAGAACAGGAATGGAGTCTGCATGAATAAACCCCAAAGGAAGACAATCCTTAATTTAAGACATCCCCCCTAAAAGAAAGCTATACATGACTTCCGGTTTTCAGTGATCGCCAGGGCAGTAGCTTTCTCCCAGACCTCCGGGAGAAGTCTGCCAGCGCACATGGCTGGGAGGGGGCGCGACCTATAAATAACTGTAGAAGAGCAAGAGTCCAGTAGCACCTTAAAGGCTAACAGAACTCGTGGCAGGGTATGAGCTTCTGTGAGTCGCTGCTCACCTCTTCAGATAATAGGTAGAATGTGAGTCCATCTGTCCTATATATTGGAGAGTGGAGGGATGTCAGATGCCAAATGACAAGAGCAGGTGAATGACAATTTGATTAGGTGTGACATGGAGCCACACCTACTACCCCTCTGCATACCACACCGCATCCAATTGTCATTCACCTGCTATTGTCATTTGCCTGCTCTTGTCATTTGGCATCTGAAATCACTCCACTCTCCGAGATATAAGGACAGAAGACTCATACTCTAGCCAGCAGTATCTGAAGAAGTGATCAGTGACTCATGAAAGCTCATACCCTGCCACATTTTTTTTAGACCTTAAGGTGCTACAGGACTCTTGCTCTTTTCTGCTGCTACAGGCAGACTAACATGGCTACCCATCTTGATCTATAAATAAACGGTGATTTTTTACCTATGTCCCTAGGAAGAGCATATCTGTACTTTGTAGAATTTAAAAAATGGAATGCCTGCTGCTTCCACATGCTGGGTGAGAATACCCACCTGGCATTGTAAAGTTCCAGCTTTGGAAGAAAAGCAGGATTTAAATTTTAAAACATACATCAATCAAAATACAAAGACACAAGGGCTGCGGTCACACACACACACACACTAAATAATCCACTTTCAATGAACTTTCAAACTGGGATTTTACCAGTTCACACAGTAAAAATCCAGTTGGAAAGTGCACTGAAAGTGGGCTGAAAGTCGATTATTTAGTGTGTGTGACCGCAGCCAAGATATGACAACAAGGTACCCTTTTCTCTCTCAGCAGTACCCTTCTCAGTATTCTCTGGGGCAAATTGGTTTTAATGAATGGCAATGGTAGGGTGTTCACCTCAAAAAAAAAATCTAGACTGCTGTGCTTCAATGGAAACCCTTTTTCTTTTGGTCTCAGATACCACCTCATCAGTTTTGGACCTTCTTGAGCATTTTGTAAAAGGGATTAATACCCAATAAACATCTGGGGTGGCAGAGGCAATCTCAAACTCTGTTTTGAGATGTCTCACAGTTAATTGCATCTTGGGAACCTAAGGTGGGTCCTAAATCTAGAACAACATAAAAACAGAGCTGTCAGGGCACACACGGGAAGCAACACTACAAGGCACGAGGTTAGTCCCGAAGCAAGGAAAGAAGGTAAAGCTTGCGACTATGTGGCAGAGCTGAAGATGCCACTGTTACCTTCTTCTCCTTGGGATGCACTAAGGCCACTGGCCTGGCCTCTTTTGTTTGTGTGTCATTTCTGGTCTGCTCAACATGACTGTTTGAGTTTATATCCATATAGGAGCACTTCTGGAAAGCCTAAGGAGTTAAAATAGGGCACGTTATCAGAAGACTCCCTTTTAGTGCACCAGCCAGGTGTCCTGGTGGTCTGTTAGCAGGGAACTCACAGATTCTGGGTTGGATCCATTGTGAGTAGACCGGAGAACATACTTAGCACAGTTCTGCATGCACTAGCAATAGCACAAAAGGCTGCTGCAACACACAGCACTTCAATATAATTTTTAACAATGTCTCTATATATGGAACACTGGGATGTACAACAGAAAGTCTGCATGATCTCATTCAGCCTGACATTATCAGAAGAAATATTTCACACGTGTTATTTCACAAAGCGGGGATAATCCCTTTCCCTAATGCAAGCGGACAGTGAGGAGTAATTTTAGTGCTTCCACTTGCAAAAGACTTGTTGTGTAAATTGAAACCTCCTATGGGATCCAACACTTTTCTTAAACCATTCTAGTCAAGGCAAAGCTGTTTGTGTGCACACGGGGCGTAAGAATCATCCTGAACAAATAGCTGTGTAGTTGAGCTAACTGACAGTGCTCAAGGTTAATAGTGAAGCCATTGGCAACAGCAGCTTCAAGAGACATTTTGCTAGCTAATACAAAATGCACAGAACACAAGCCAGAGAAATGCAGTCACAGGAATTAATTGCAACTGACTTCTGCTAAGTTGTGTGCATGGAGCTAAAGAGCATTGCCCATCATTTAAATGCCACAGCAGACAGTCTACATTGTAATGGCCAGGTCCAGTTGGCAGTTCTTAAACCCTGGGATAATAATTAGAACAGACAAAAGCTTTCAAAATGGAAACAGTCAGATTCAAACCTTCATCTTAATGGTTGTGAATGGGTTGAAATCTTACTATTTCACTCCAGGTTTCCCTGATCTGAACTCAACTGTAGTTGATCTAAACTCAACAGAAGTTCAGTAAGAAACTATCCCATCATGGTTATTTCATCCACAGTGCAGAAGAGGGCATCCAAAAACACTTGCGTCTTTAACCTGCAGAAGCAAAAGTCACTAAGGAATCCCTCCTGTGCAAGTCTAGTTTCACTCCCTAGAGCATAACACTCATTTCAGTGGGGCACACTCATACCCTAACACTGTGCTCTAGGTCTACAAAAAAATCCTCCTATTCTACCTCTGTATATGTCTGTCCAGCTTCCTGTTTTGTGTAATACATACCTGCAATTCTGCCATTATTCTCTCGCCTTCCTCTTCTTCCTCTTCCTTTGCAGGTGGGATGGTGCCCGTCAGCAGGGGTTGAGATGAGACTTGATCCTCCTTAGATACTTTGGGCTGTGCTCCTTGACTGGGATCTTCACTGCTTTCCTAAGGATCATAGAGAAGCTATGTATGCAGTGCCTCCATATAGGCCTCTGTTCTTCATTTGGATTTTAAAGGATATCACAGTATCCCAACACATCCCACAGGTCCAATGATACCATTTGGTTTCAGCAACATAATTTTTTACAGCATATATTGGCACTTTCACACATGCTAAATAATGTGGTTTCAATCCACTGCAGCAACCATTTGCAAATGGATTTTGCCATTTCACACAGTAAAATCCAGTTGCAAAGTGGATTGAAAGTGTGTTATTTAGTGTGCATGAAAACGCCCATAGATATACAGAAACAAGATCTTCCCACCAATGTTCCCTCTAAGCTGTGGAGTCTTGTGAGCAAAAATTCTATTTTGTGAGCTACTGGCATTAAAGTTGTGAGTGAGCAATTTGGCTACCACATAAATTAGTTTGCTTTGGAGCCATCCTTCCTGAGCTAAAACAAAAATGTGTGAGCTGGAGGCTAAAAACTGTGAGCTAGCTCACACTAACTGCTTCCCACTATACTTTTCTTTTTTTGGGGGGGGGGGCTTCAAAAGTAACAGATGGATTAAGCAAGAACTTAAGGAAAAGGTTTCTATTGAATTGTTCTCTCAAACTGATCACCATCTGTGTAAGATGTGTGTACTTGCTTAAGTAATCTTTAAATCTCTTAGGAACACAGGGAGTATAAACAGCTTTTGGTTTGCAGTTGACATGATCATAAACAAGGATGCAGGAAGGATAACTCCTATGAAGGGCAACTCCTATACAGAGGTGGCTCCTATCATTATATGCCTGGCTGTAACTGACTTGAGTGCTTCTCTGGGTCGCGGCGCTGTCATGGCAATTTAAGCTAAGTTGCCTCAGTCACCAAACCTTGACCACAGGGGTGTCCTTCCTGGCCACGTAGCTGACTTCACTCAGTTTTGTGCTCAGTCCAGATCCTAGCAGGTAGGTGCGGCGTGGAGGAGGAGGAGGAGGAGACTTCACAAGCTTTTCAGCTGCTTGTTCTGCATGAGAAGTCTCTTCTGGAAATTACAAGAGATAACGCTATCATTAATAGGGCAGTGTTTATGTTCAACAAGTGGGCATTCTGCTTATTTCAATGCAAATGAGATAGGCATGTGCTTAACTTAGTAACATTGATGGACTTCAAAGGGATGCTTATCAGCGCAAAAACACCCAACTCTATAAACTGATGGGATCTGAATCAGTGGTGACTGAGAAAGGAAGAGGTCATGGGCTCGTGGTGGAAAGCTCAACAAAAATGGCGACCCAGTGCGCAGCAGCAGTGAAAAGGGCAAACTCTATGCTGGGGATTATTAGTAAAGTGATTGATTGGTAACAAAACAGCCAATATTATAATGCCCCTGTATGGATCTATGATGTGGCTTCATTTGGAATACTGTGTACAGTTCTAGTCACCATATCTCAAAAAGCACCTTGCAAAGCGGGGAAAAGTGCAGATGAGGGCAACCAAAATTAAGGGCTTGGAGCACCTTTTCTATGAGAAAAAGCTAAAGTGACTTGAAGTTTTCTGTTTAGGAAAAGATGAGTGAGGAGGGGCATGAACGAGGTTTATAAAACGATACAGAAGGTAGTGAAAGTGGATAAAGTCAGTGTTTCCTGCCTCCCTCCAGGGCACCCAATGAAGCTAATAGGCAACAGATTCAAGACAGCAAAAAAGAAAGACATCTTTACTTAGTGAGTATTTAAACCATGGAATTTACTGCCCATGGACATGGTGATGGCCATCAGCATAGATGGCTTTGAGGAGGACAAGTCTATCAGTTGCTAGTACCCATGATGACTAAAGGGAGCAGCAGGACTCTGAATACCAGTGCTAGGAGGCAGCATCAGGGGAAGGCCTTGGCCTCTATGCCTTGTTTGTTGGCTCTTCAGGGCAGCTGGTTGACCACTGTATGAAACAGGATGCTGGACTAGGCAGACCGCTGGTATAATCCAGCAGGATGAACCTGTTACATTCTTATTCTTATTTCTACCTACATTTTTGAGGTACTTGCTGAGGGCTGCGGCCTCCTGTCTGTAACTAAGACTTGTGTTTCCACCACCCAAGTTCTTTCCTAAATAAGATTTTTGACCTCAGAAATGGATCGTTCACATTTTGGTTCATATTGAAAAGAAGGTTGAAAGGGTCGGCCCTGAATCCACTCACAATCAGTATCTTGTCATACGATCTTGACCCTCCTTACCGCAAACATCTAATTTCTCGGCTGTATCGCTTTTGGGTGAGGGTGTGGCTTGTGGCGGCATCTCGAGGTTTGGAATAGATTTCATGATATTTGCTTGTGCTTCTTCCAGGAGTTTTTCAAACTCCTTCCCATTGTAGTGATCGAGGTTCTGTCTTTTCTCTTCCCATTTCTTCTCTGCTTTCTAACAGGAAACAAACATACTCGTTAAACACTTTGAATTCTGCCTATGGCTCGATATTCTGTTTAAACGTTCCTCTATGAACTGTCAATGAATCAACTCCACTGAGAGTTCTTTCACCCCTCTCTGCCAAGTTTCTGCCCTTTGCACTATTTCCAGTTGGCATACGCCCTACACATATTCCACCCTGTGCCAAAATCGTGTTCTGGAAGCAAGGAGAAGCGATGTGTACATGAGCAGCTTCCCTGTTTCAGTTTGCTTCCACATGGGGATAATTCCCCAGGGCGTTCTCATTGCTGCTACAAATGCAGAGGCTTTCCCGATGGGGTTATTCTATGGTGTTAAGATGCCGCTACTGATTTTTTTAAAAGCAAAACCTAGCAAAAAGTCAGCTGGAGGGGATGCTGGGCATGTTAGAAAATGCAGGAGCAGTACAAAAACCTGCACATTCCCATCTACATGATGACCCGGCATGCTTTGCGTACAATCTTTCTGGAAAGATTGTGGCAAATGAGAATCTGGAAACTGCAGCAAAGCACAGGAAATCCTGGTAGGTGAGACAATTACAAAACACGGTCATGGAGAAGCAAAAATATGCTGCAGTTTGGGGTGGAATACTGATCAAAACTTCTGTGTGGAAGCACACTCAGTGGACTCAGAAGATGTACATTTTTGTGTGTATATGTGTGCATGAGGGCATTGGCTGTTTCCATGTACAGGGCTGTGTGTATTCTAGACTTTTCAAAAATGAAAATTCTGTGTCCAGGCCATCCAGTTCTGCTGTTGTGTATATATCACTGTGTATAATTTAATATGTATTTTGTATCCTGTATACCAGGGGTTCCCAATGTGGTGCCCATGGGTGTCATGGGTGTCTGCTGATACCTTTCCTGATGCCCAACAAGTGTATTTAGAAAGTGGGTTTGGCCAGGTGGGGTTTTTGCCCAGCAACGATTTTGATTGGCTACTTGAGATTTGGCTGTGAAGATTTTTCAAAACATTGCTTTGGCAGCAGTTGCCACCACAGTACAAGGATTTTCATTGTGGCAGCCATTTTGTGAGTGCCTGAATCTCCTGTGGTAGTAGTTTTGTGGCAGCCATTTTGTGCTGTGCCCCCCACGCTGTGTCAGAATTCCAGAGGCACCCACAGGCTCAAAAAGGTTGGGGATCCCCTGCTGTATACTGTTTTGTGTAATTCTGCTTTTTCTAGTTGGAGGTAGAGGAAGGAAAGATTGAAGGTCAAAGAAGACGGGGACGGCAAAGGATGAAATGGTTAGAGAGTGTCATCGATGCAACGAACATGAAATTGAGCACACGTCAGAGGACGCCGGAAGACAGGAGGGCCTGGCGGGATCTGGTCCATGGGGTCGCGCAGAGTCGGACTCGACTGTGCGACTGAACAACAACAACAAAAGAGGAAGGAACTATGTAGGACATTGAAGCCAAGATTGCTGAGGTGGAGACATATCTCTTCAGACTGAAGGCAGAAGAATGCTTCTCTGTAATAACACTCCCTGCAAGCGGAGAAGTCGCAGAAAGGACAAAGATTCTAACCCAGCTCTCTCTCTATTGGGCTAGTTTTCTGCAGACAGTGAGTTTGTGTTTTTTAAAAAGACATCATGGAGTAGGGTTGCCAAGTCACCCTCTGTAAACCGGGGGAGTCCAGTGCCGGTCTGGGAGTGTGCATGCGCGCGCAAAGCGCGCGTGCACTGCAACCACGTCACCCGGAAGTGACACAACCACGCCGGGCACACCGGGGGCAGGGCCACAATCATCCGAGGGAAAACCATAGAGTTTTCCCTCGGATGACCGCGGCCCCGCCCCCAATGCGCCCAACGCGACTGTGTCACTTCTGGGTGATGTGCTGATGCCGGGCACGTCGCGTACTTTGGGGGTGGGGTTCCCCTGGGGCCCGATCCGCTGGTGGCGGGTAACGGGCCTCTCGGGCAGGGTTTTCCCCGCCCCCCCCGGGGGGACTTGGGAAGCCTAACATGGAGCATTCAAAACTTCTGTCTCACAACCAACTGCAGTCCAAAATGGCATAGCACATTCCGCCTCATTCCCCACTCCCACCCTGTTCATTTTACTTCATGTATAAACCCAACCTGAGAGAGAGAAAGAGAGAATGCCAGTGTGGTGTAGTGGGGAAGAGTATTAGACTAATACCCAGAAGACCCAACTTTGAATCCCCACCTGTGCTGTGGAAGCTCGCTGGGTGACCTTGGGCCAGTGACACACTCTCAACCCTAACCTACCTCACAGGGTTGTTGTGAGGATAAAATGGAAGAGAGGAGAAGGATGTAAGCCACTTTGGGTCCCCACTGGGGAGAACAGTGGGCTACAAATGAACTAACTAAATAAATAATATCAATGTACCTCAATGGACAGAGCTCTGTTTCTGGTGCTGGCACTGTGAAGTTCTTCAATGAAAAGACTCTGCATGGTGGAGCCGTTGATGGACAGAGGGGGTGAGTGAGGTGCCTGCGTTTGCAGTGTGGTGGCGGTGGTTGTGGCTGAAGACTCCGGCACGCTGGATGTTGGCTGGTTTGATGCCAGTGAGTGTACTGCATGGCTGTTTGCCACTGGAGAAGTCTGAGAGTGGCTGACCAATGCGGACGAGTGTTGAGTCTGGTGGATCACCACGGGAGAGCTTTGTACGTGATGGATTTTCACTGTGGAGACAGGGACCACCTCAGACTTGACAGGAGGCTCCGCGGTGGGCTCAGCTGTATTGTGCTGTGGGCTGTTCTGGGGGCTGTCTTGGCTCTTCAGGACTTCTGCTGCTGTGGCTTTCTCCATGGCACTGTACTGCGCAGCTTGGGAAGGATCCACACCCTTCAGCAGGCCATCTGTAACGTTTCTGCGAAAAGAAGGCGCAGTGTGACTCTCGCTCGTCTTTTTTAAATGGAGGGGCTCCCTCTAGCGCTCTTTATGGGAAAGACACAAGACCAAACGGTTTCAGGTGGGGTAGCCTTGTTGGTCTGCGGTGGAAGAGCAAGACTGGAGTTCAGGGGCACCTCAGAAGACCAGAAGACCAGTAAGATCTCTCGGGGATGAGCTTTGGAGAGACTAAGCCCCCCTTCATCATCTGATGTCTACAGCCTGGAAATGTTGTTGGTCTTCAAGGTGCTACTGGATTAAAACCATATACAAATGCCTGTATACGGGATTACAAACATAGTGACCTTTTAAAAGGCTCTTTTAAAAAGGCAGTAGGACTGAAGGGGACGTCATGTTGCTTTTGTAGTATTATAGCAAGGGAGAGGCAACAACACAAAATATAATACCCTTCGTCAAGCCCACTGCTGGTAAATCAATGGATTGAAGACTGTAGAACTCTATCAATATTTGAACACATGGGGAAACCATTTATAGAAACTTATGTGTAGATCTGCCACTGCTGTAGTTATATTTTTGTCTTTATGTATATTTCCCCTTTTTTAAAAAAACCTGTATTGAGTTGCTGGATTTTAAGTTTTTCCCCCTTGTCCTTTCCCCCCCTGTTTTTTCCTGCTCATTCATGTGAGAGCCACTGAGTCCAGAGGGCTCTTCGTGTGGACTGCTGTGTGGACCTGTCCTTCTGACCAGTTCCACAGCCCTTCTCAAATTCTCAGGATGTTATGAGACTCACTACCAGACTCTTTGTGCTACAGAGCGACAGCAGGCATTTATTGGTCTTTGAAGAGGCATTCTCTAGAAATCTACACATTGCCACATACAAATCACACAAACAGCTGCCTACTGGGTGACTGAAATGCACCGGGGAAACCTGGAATGTGGGCAAACACCCAAACTTATCACAAGTTGAAAGTACTGATTATAATGAGACCAGTGGATCAGAGCCAGGATGGACACGCAAAATGCAGGCCAGTTCCAGAACTGCGATGGGGATGAATTCATAAGAGTGATCTAGCCTTTTGGGGATCACACAGTGAATGTGATAACATCATAATGCAGTGTGGCTGAACAAACTGAGATTGGGGGTAAAGCTTCTTGGACGTGGGTCAGCCTAGCTAGTCAGGAATACAGTGGTAAATAAAGCTCATTCAGAGCAGTGCTTTACCTAATTGGTGAACACTTTTATCCCTCTGGAATATTTGCTGGAAAGGGGATGTCTTTTGACCCTGGTGAAATATATTTATGAAAAATGATACACTCAGCCCCAAAACTGATATAGAACTGCTATAAGGGCACAGCTAGATGAAATGGGCAGAGGTCCACAATCAGATGTCCCACAGCCAGAGGGCCTGACTGGATTAGGGCCCATGGGATTGTTCAGGAGGTTAACCCTTCCTCCTGTGCCATTTTTCTGATGCAAGTTGCCCTCACCCACTATAGGTGTTTTTCCTCCCACAGGACAAACAGCAAATCTTGGGAGGGGTCATCAGCAGTGTTCCCTCTAAGCTGAGTTAGTGTGAGCCAGCTCATAGTTTTTTAGCTTCCAGCTCACACATTTTTGCCTTAGCTCAGGAAGGGATGGCTCCAGAGCAAGCTAATTTATGCAGTAGCCAAGTCACTCGCTCACAGCTTTAATGCCGGTAGCTCACAAAGTAGAATTTCTGCTCACAAGAATTTCTGGTCATCAGGTAAATAATGGGGATGGGAGGGTTAATCCCTCAGCATCATGGTTCCAGTCTGAATTGGGGGCCTACGGCAGCTGTTCTTTTAAAAATGAAGAAGATTTGGGGAACATGGAACCCTCAGGAATGGCATGAAGGGATAATCAGAGGTTTGCTGCAAGGAAGCAGAACTGACGGAAATTATACCTGCTCTTCCACTAGTGGAAAATGTAGTCTGGGTCCAACCCTGTGTGTTGAGTTATTGCCTTATATTATATATTGCATGAAAAACCTGCTTAGGTTAATTTTAACTTGCCAAGAAATAGACACCTCACCTCCGGAGTGTGGTAAGCATATCAGTCAAGCTGCGGACTTGTCAGCAGGGTGTCTAGTTTATGGGGTTCCTCTTTTAGAAATCTCACAGCTTCTACTTCAACACGGAGAATGGCCCGCATCTTATTCTGCAGTGCTGGAAAGTCTCCTGTAATGACAATGGCCACAAAGTACTTCTTAGCAGGAGAGGTGGGTCCTTCTTAAAAGGGAAGTTGGAGCAGTGCACAGGCTTAATATTCACACCCAAGCCATCTTCTAGCTTCAGTCCCTCACCCCAAACAGCAATGTTAAATTAATGCTCCAGTTTCACACACTTGAAAATAAGACTCGTAGATATCAGCGGAATTTACTTTAAAATTAGCATGCTTTTAGGTTGGAGTATAAGAGGTAAGCTCTGACCTCGATGGCCCAAGCTAGCCCTAGATGATCAGACCTTGGAAGCTAAGAGGGGGCAGCCCTGGTTAGTCCTTGGATGCAGGGCTTTTTTTGTAGAAAAAGCCTAGCAGGAACTCATTAGCATAATAGGCCACACCCAACAGCAGAAACTCATTAGCATATTGGGCCACACCCTGAGATAGCAGCTTATTAGCATATTAGGCCACACCCCCACGTTACCAGAAGTATGGTCATCCAGCCACACCCACCTTTTACTTCTTAGTCTATTTACTTTCTTTGATGTCAAAACCAGGGCTTTTTTTGTAGCAGGAACCCTTTGCATGTTAGGCTACACACCCCTAATGTAGCCAATCCTAATGAGTTTCTGCTGTTGGGTGTGGCCTGTTATGCTAATGAGTTCCTGCTGGGCGTGGCCAACTCGGGAGCCAGCCGGAACTCCGTTCCTGTGCGTTCCTGCCCAAAAATAGCCCTGCTTGGATGGGAGGCCACCAAGTCCAGGCTTGCTATGCAGAGGCAGGCAATGGCAAACCACCTCTGCTTGTTTCTTGCCTCGAAAACCCTACAGAGTCACCACAGGTCAGTGGCAACTTGATGGTAGTTTTTCCCACCACAAAAAGTTTAAGGAGCTGCTCCTCTAAAAAAAACCTTCGCATCAAAGGAGACAACCTTACAGCAGTACCTTTGAGGGCAGCAACAGCTTCTCCAACTTGCCGAAGAAGAAAAGCTCCATCTTCAACATCTTTCAAAGTAACTGTCCTTTTAGTCATAGATTCTTTCTTCAGCTCTTCAACAAAACTTTCAAGTTCACTAGTTATTTTAAAGGACAAAAAGAACAGAAAAGGAGTTGAATTCCACAGTTTTTCTTGAAGACAGGCAATGGTACACAAAGTATTCTGGATGTTCGGGGCACCTTAACAGGAGCTATAAACAAACCATCAGATCAAAACCTGATGAAGCAGAATCATGTGCCATGTAGTGAGGCACATCCACGAGGAAGTAGGAATAGCATTACTACACAGTGCCTGGTGCTGGGCACTGATTTGACTTGTCTGGGTGCAATGATATGGCCAGCTGAGCATTTCCACTGTTGCTGTGATTTTTGCCATGAGTGTTTTGCCGTCTCGAATATTGTGACTCTGTTGATGTGCCAGCTCTGGCTCCAGGATGGAATTCTGACTTGCTTGAGTGAGTACAAAAGTATAGTGGCAGATATCATAGCTGAACCACAGAATTAGTCTCTGCATGCGCTAAAGACATGACGAGACTCATTTAGAAACATTCATTTATTATAGGGGTACAATGTAGGGATGTAGCCATTTATTAGTACTAACTTTGTGGCTCTAAGCAGAGTTACACATTCTAAGACTATTAGAAGGTTGTAGCTCTGTTTAGGATTGTACCTTAAAGCTTGATTGATACAAGTTTTTAAAGATCATTTCAGTGCTTGTTGGTTCATCTGCAGGTCACTGTGTGCGTCTATTGAATCTTGAATCCCATCTGCTGCTGCCCATATAGGACCATGCTATTTTCCCATTGTCACCTATTGTACAGAGATGGAGCAGAAAGCCAAGATCCTGAACTGTTGGGATATTCTACTTCCTTATGCTTTGTGGGCTGATTAGTACACTCTCAAACTTGTTTACACTACGAAGAAACTCTCAAACTTGTTTACACTACAAAGAAATTAAATACATCTACTGAATTAAAAGGTTCTAATCTCCAGGTTACTGTTTACGTAGCCAAGTAACAATGTCTTAAATCTACTTTATCACTAAAGATATAGCACAGGCTAAAGATAAGATCAAAATCCCTTATGCTAAAATTAACAGAAACACTCAGTCTACAATACTGAAAGACCATGACTGAAACTACATTTTAAATTAAAGGCTGGGAAGAGGTCAGACCCCTTGCCATCTCACTGCCCCTATAGTTGGGGGTGGGCATTAGCCACTAAAAATGTGATTCAACAATTAACAGAATAATCAAATTGTGACTCTTAAGTTGATGAATGCATAATACCAGCATAGCTGGGAACACCTTTGAGAAGACCACAGGTTTTCTCAGACTGTGTGCTTATCTTCATGCCCGTTGGGTTGCTCACAAAATATATGGCTTAATTCATTTGCTACTGGGCACATCCCTACAAACATGGAGGAAGTTTAAATTGACATGCAAATATTGAAAAGAAAAAGCTCAGCTCTGTGTGTGTGTGTGTGTGTGTGTGTGTGTGTGTGTGTGTGTGTGTGTGAGAGAGAGAGAGAGAGAGAGAGAGAGAGAGAGAGAGAGAGAGAGCGCTTTGCTCAACCCCAACTGTTGGTGCCAATACGTGTAAGCAGGCTACCCTCAAAAGTTGGGGCTCTCAAAAGCTCGCAGTGGTGCCTTCCATGCTCACAGAAACCACAAAACAGTTATCACAGAAGTAGCCATTATGATCTTCCACAGCAAAACATGACAATTTTAGAAATGCAACATCTGCACCAGTTCTGGTTCTAAAAATCACAGAATCTCCAACCATGATCCCTGCACAGAAAATAGTTGTCAAATTTCAGAGCCGGTGACCCAGCAATACCTGAATGATTCATACATTTACTTTGCTGTTTGGTTTTCTTGTAAGCAAATGCAAAAAAATCCTGCCATCCATAGAGATCTAGGGATCAAACCGTCTCTAGTCCACAGTAGGGAGGGAGAAGAGCTACATGGCCAAAAGAGAGAAGACGGACCTGTACAAAACAGATCTGAGATTTCTCCAAGGTGCAGAAGAAGAAGAAGAAGAAGAGATTGGATTTATACCCCGCCCTTCACTTGGAGTCTCAGAGCGGCTTACAAACTCCTTTCCCTTCCCTTCCCACAACAGACACCCTGTGAGGTGGATGGGGCTGAGAGAACTCTGACACAAACTGCGCTTTTTCAAGAACAGCTGTGCCAGAACTTGTGACTGACCCAAGGTCACATCCGCAGGTGCAAGTGGAGGAGTGGGGAATCAAACCCGGTTCTCCCAGATTAGAGTCCGAGCACTTAACCACTACACCAAACTGTACACTTGGTGGCAGCAAATGAACAGAGCTTTCCAGTCTCCACAGGGGGGGAAATTCAATACAATTATATGCTTGCTGTTCAGAGTAAAATGACAGATTGCATGCATATGTGGTTGTTGTTTTTTTTAATTCTAAAGCTGCCTTTTCTAGGGAGGAGGATTTGGTGGAGACTTAGCAGGCCTATAAGCTTCCCCCATCACTTCTTGACTTGAAATCCCCCTCCCAGCCACTTTGGCTTTTTGTGGGCTCCCAAATCCATATTTGAAATTTTCCCCCTGCTGCCCATCTGGTGTGTATGTGCGTGTCTGCACATGGACTTTTACATCCATGCCAATATGTTGTAGGGGTTCGAATGCCAGATTCGGACCTGGGAGACACAAGGGTTTGAATTCTCACCCTGCCGTGGAAGCTGGCTAGGTAACCTCGGGCCAGTCATATACTCTCAACCTAGCGTCCTTCACAGGGGGACTATTAAGATAAAGTGGAGGGAATGAGAAGGATGCAAGCCACTTTGAGAAAGGTGAGGTGTAACTGCAATAAATAAAATAAAATCCATCACCCCTTTATGCAAGAAGGAGAAGAAGAAGATTAGGTTTTTTATACCACACTTTTCTCTACCTCAAGGAGTCTCAAAGTGGCCTATGATCGCCTTCTCTTCCTCTCCCCACAACAGGCATTATTTAAACCCGATCTTAGCCAACATGATGGACCTTCCTGATGCTTTAAAAGTGCTCCGTCTTCTGAATGACTCTGCTCCTGAAACATTAGTGAAGGTAGCCATGTTTTTACAATCAGCTATAAAGCTATGACAGGAAAAACTAGCAAAATGAGTAATTTTGTTTTATGCAAATTGTTTTATGCAACATTATGCACTGTTATGCAGTCTGTAAAATGGTTGGTTCTACATGTATATTTATCTTTTATAGTAATCCTCTTTTAAGGTACTGTTTTATGCCAATACAGGCTAACTAACTGACGGACACAACTTGCACCTTGTGAGGGAGGTTGGAGCTGAGAGAGTTCTGAGAGAACGGTGACTGACCCAAGGTCACCCAGCCGGCTTCATGTGGAGGAGAAGCGGGGAATCAAAACTGGTTCTCCAGATCAGGGTCTGCTACTCTTAACCACTTTACCACACTGGCTGGCTGCGATATGCATGTGTGTGCGCTCATTTCCCAACCAATTTGATCAGATTACTTGGAATTAAGGCTGCATACCAAAATAAATCAACACAGGAGTCACTGCAAGGTTTGCATCCCCCAAAGTGAGCCTGTTTTCACCCTGCCTCCGCAATCTAATCGACAGGTGTACTTCCTGGAGATCAGGCATTCACCTTAAAAAAAATACACATGGAACAAGTGCAAAACTGCTCAGGGGCAAGTCTGAGAGGAGGGGCTGTAAACCCCCCCCCCCGCTGCCACTGACTGGCACCGAGGGGAACTGGGTTCTGACTCAGACCGGAAGAACTGGTTTCCTTTGAGTTCGTCTCCAAAGAAAAATCAGTGCCGTTGACAAGAATGCATTTAATCGTACTGCCAGGACTGCTTCACTCTTCACGGAACTAATCCTATCTGAAGTCAATTAGCTTAAATACAAATATTTCCGTTTAACTGTCTCAACATATTTGAGAGATGCCTAATGTAGTTTATTTGAAATAGCCCCCTTGGGCTTTGAACTAGGTCCCCACACCCAATTTTGAAAACGCTGTAAGCGAGTCTAAAGAAAACATATTCCATGGCTGGAGTGTTTTCTACTCCTTGGCAGCAAAACACGATGGAGGGAGAGTGCTGCAGAGCTGAGATCTAAGCAAAGGACAGCTGTTAAAACAAACACACACTCCCCAGCCCAGTTGACCATCTTGGCATCCCACCCTTGCCAGTTTCCCCAAGGAACGGGATTGCCTATCAATGGCTGCTAGCCATGGGGACTGAGGGGAACCTCCACGTTCAGAGGCACTAAACCTTTGAATCCCAGAGCCCAGAAGCAACATCAGGAGAAGGTCTTGGGCTCTGTGCCCTCTTGCTGGCCCTCCAGAGGAACTGGTTGGCCACTGTGTGAGACAGGATGCTGGACCCGATGGACCACTGGTCTGATCCAGCAGGGCTCTTCTTATGTACACAGCTGCCCCTTTGGTAGTAATACCAATATGCACAGCTAGGGCCCCAAAACTATCACCTCTCCGGGATTTCCAGCTCCACGTTGGGAAATTCCTAGAGTTTTGTGGGTGGAGCCTTGAGGAGGGCAGGGTGTGGTGAGAGGAGGGGCCTTAAGCAAGACATATTGCCACAGAGTTGTAGATCAGTTGTAATTCTGGGAGATCTCCAGGTCCCACCTGGAGGCTGGCAACCTCTATATTACTGCCCTTGTATTTATTGCCAGGGGCCTTCCAGGGACCCTAAAGGGCACAGAACCTCCTGGACAACAGTGGAAGGAGAGGAAAGAGCTGGGAAAGAGGTCCTGCGGACAGGGAGAGAAAAGGTGAAGTCAGGAAGCTCAGAAGAGGGAAGGCTCTGGCGGGCTAATTGCAACTTTGCAGAACTGCATCCTAAGTTATGTGCTAAACATGAATATACAAATACGTGGGAATATCTTGCCTTACTGGGTAACAGATAACTGGCCAACTTGTGGACTTGTGATCTACAACCCTCCAGAAGTGAGCCTGCAGCTCATAGCTCTGGGGAGGAAGCAGTCATACGTGTCTTTATAAGCAACCTGATCCTAAGTGTGATTACTCCAGGTCAAAAGAGATAAGATGCTGAGTGATTAATGATCAGAGATCCTCCCAGCAATATTGAAAAAGCCACCAGATCAAATTAACCCACTCATCGATAATAGTTCTCCAAGTGAAACAAGATGGGTCTTCTTTCCTAGGGTTCCCATGCCCCCGGTCTGGGCAGGGGCTCTCCCGATTTTGGGGGCTTCTGCCTGCTGCTGGCTAGCTGCCCAGTGGGGGAAGCCCCACTCCAAACAGCGATGTTGCACGGTGATGTCCCTGACTTGATGACATCACACAGAAGTGACGTCATTGCGTCAGTGACGTCACACTGCGATGCTCTGATTTTGGGGCTAAACTCTATGGTTGGAGCCCAATTTTATCCATAGAGTTTGCCCCAAAAGCAGAGCCCACTGCAATGATGTCATTTCTGCGTGACATCATCGCATCAGGGACATCGCCGCCTCTCCCAGACCACCCCCCAAATCTCACTACCGGCGTGACGATCGCACCTGGCCTTTCTAGGGCTACTGACAGCACAGGGAGGTTGGTTTCAACAGATGAAACCACGCGGAGGTGGAATGATGCAACCTCCTTCTCTCTGAAACTTACATATATAACCTATGAAGTTTATCTGATCGGAGTCTCAGACACTTTGCACAGGGAGACTTCAACATGTCCACAGTCTCTTATCTCAGATGAGACATTTTATATCTTTAAAACAAAATGAGAGGCAACCCAAAAATTCTGTCACCAGCTACAAGGGAAACAAGCTTATGCCAGAGCCTTTCAAGGAAACAGTACAATTGTTTCAGACTTGAGTAACAGTTACAAAGTGAATGATGGTAAGATCTGTATGCGGTCATACTATACATAGAGGACCTTTCTTTTTTGAAAGACAATACGGACACAGTATATGTCACAGAGTGGGTATGCTCTAGAAATCATCACAACTGCAAGTGCATTGCAGAGTTTATAGAATTTCTGATGAAGAATTCAGTAACTAATGGGACAAAATTCAAAAATCCTGGCACGAAAAAGTCTAGCCCTCATGGGAGGAGGAAAAAATAATTCTGCCAAGTAGCTAAAAGCTGCAAGGTAAGATACATAAAACAGCATTATACTGAATCAGATCACTGGTCCATCAAGGTTGGCATTGTCCACTCAGGCATGCAGCAGAGATACTGGGGACGGAACCTGGGACCTTCTGCATGCAAACTATATAAACTACCACTAAGCCACAGCCCTTCTGCATCTAGATAATAAGTCTGTATACTCAAGGGATGGCTATTTTGCATTCAGCAGACAGACAAATATCTAATATTTTGACAGATATATAATATTTTGAAGTCCAACCTGTAACTAAAACGTGCAACTGAGTGCAAGGTAAAGTGGTTTGGGGAAGGTGTGGTTAAGCGCCTCAGTTTTTGTTTAAAGAGAGACACACTCTTCCCCTGCTTGAGAATATTGGCAATAGAGGATAAAAACTTGCTACGCAAGTAAGAATCTTAATTGCCTCTAAAACTGGAACATTTTATGATGTGGGTGAAAGGTCAGGGTTTCACTCCTCTCCCACACAGGTTCCACTTTTGTTAAAAACAGACAGTCCATTACCTACTTTATACAAGGCCAAAGAACTTGTAAAGAAAATACACGTTGTGCTAAGATTTCTTTTACTGATAGCCCTATTGTAATAAAATGCCCTGATGTACATTCTAAATCCAGAGTATTGAAAGGGAAACGTTAATGCCTAGATGAATGTAACAAGATCAACTGCTGATGAAATAACCTGTTGCAATAAACAACAGGCAACCGGCAACCCATGCTAGGTCCTGTAATTCTACAAGAGATTCTAGGGTGTGATGTTATTTATGGTCACCCAGAGACCAGAAGATTGTAAACAACAACATGCCACTCCATCTAGAGCCCGATGATTAAAAATGTCAACGAGAGGCTGATAATAAAGCTGGCCTCACAAATAAAAGAGCCATGCCTCAGATGTTGCTGTCCGTTATCTAGGAACAGCAGTCAAAGCAATACGTTAATGAGTAATTATCAAAGTGCCCCGGCTGGCCTGATCTTGTGAGATCTCAGAAGCGAAGGAGGATCAGCCCGGGTTAGCACTTAGATGGGAGACCAACAAAGAAGTCCAGGGTCACTGCGCAGAGGCAGGCAATGACAAACCCCCTCTGTTCATCTCTTGCCTTGAAAACCCTAAGGGGGTGGGGGGTTTGCCACAAGTTGGCTGCAACTTGATGGTCCTTTCCACCACCGGTTATCAAAGGACACTTTGGAGAAAGAATTATTTGGGCGAACTATGGATTTGGTGTCAGTCCATCCTGTAAAAGCACTTTTTCAGAAGAGCCGCTGATGTAGCTGCCCGAGACAACAATACAGGATCAATTATATGGATTGGATCCAGCCAGCTTTTGTCATTTAGTCTCATCCAGTTTGTCTCTTTACTGTAGTTCCTGACTCATGTGGGTTTTGTCGATGCAGAACTCATGATCCCCAGCATTGCATTTTGGGTAGGGCAAAGGGGAACCCTACTTCCTTTTTTCAACAGCAGAAAATCTGGTTGGAGCCAACCCAATGTAAGGTATTAAGAAACCTCTTCCTGATAATAACAGCACTATTCAGGGCTCAACACTGTTGCCTTAGTGCCAGTTCCTGGGTCACAGCAGAAGCACGATCCTATCCCAAGATCCAAAACAAACAATCCACTATGACCCTGCGTCACGTCTGGCAACAACCCCCTGCAAGACCTTCTGAGGTTGTGCCACTCACCCTAACTTTTTGATAATCCGTTCCTCTTCGTGAAGATATTTGTGCCTCTCTTGCTCCACCAGATGGCGCTGCCGTTGCACAGGATCTTCCAGCCTCTTTGCTCTTTCGATCACTTTGTCACTAATTTCCAGCTCCGCTTTCTTCACCATGGCCCGTAGAGTCTCTTGGTTCTGCAGCTGCGACACAAAAGAAATCAAATTCAATTTTCCCTGCCTGACTAACAGCCCGAGTCACTGAATGCATCATTTTGCTCAGAAGTTGGGCTAGAGATAAACAGCTCTGCAGCTGAGGGGGGGGGGGCAGGGAGAATCAAATGTTATTTTCAAGGAGAAGGGAAGGTGATGGAAGAGAGCGCAAGTTCTGTTAACTTCGGAAGCCGTGCTTCTGGCAGGAACTGGATGGGCTCACGATGATGTGGTGGGGGCTAGAGACAATTTCGGTACAAGGCCCATGAACACATGAAGTTGCCCCACATTAAACTCAGACCATTGGTCAGTACTGCCTGTTTTCAGTAGCAGCAGCTCTCCAGGGCTTCATGCAGAGGTCCTTCACAGCAACTACCATCTGAAGATGCTGGGAATCGAACCTGGGTCCTTCTGGATGGAAAGCAGATGCTCTGCCACGGAGCCACAACCCCTACCTGTGGCTAAGCTGCTGGCAGTGATTTCTGCTGCCTTTTTTGCTCTTCAGCAGCAGGCCGCAGCTGTTTCTCCAGAAGATGGCACCAATGTATCATTGTGTCCTGGGTGCACTATTTAAAATAGTTTCACAGTTACTTGGAAAATATCAGGAATGGTCATTTCAAATTCTGGCTGCCAACATTTGATTTAAAATGTTGGGACTTGGGTGGGGCAAAAGAGAAATCGCAGCAGCCACCTGAGGCTATTTTAGTCCACCACTGCTCATTCTCCCAGCACAGAGGGCTGGGATGGGGGAGAAAAATGCCCCCCCCCGAGTCTGACCCATAGGCAACATGAACCCCATTCACACGTTACAGTGCATATGCATACACTCCAGCCCTGGTGAAAATACGTACAACCTGCATGTACATGCGTACACCTCTTTGTAAGAGAGAGCCAACGCACTTTCTCTTGACAAATGAAACCGGAGACCAGCACCCACATCAATGTAGGATCTGAACCACCTATTCAGCAGCACATGTGCTGAATGTAACACAAGAATTACTCAACGCGGGCATCAACAAAAAGCACGTGTACACTGCATATGGACTGTATGTGCATTCACTGCAACTTGTGTACAAAGGTACAGTGAAACAGTGGACTCATTCCCCCAGTCTACGAGTATATGATAAACAATTTAAGGATGCACAGGAAGGGAGATGGATATAGATTTCTATTCAAAGCATTCTGGTAGTCAGAAGCCAGTGTCGAACCTGGGCCAAACCCAAGACATTCACAGTGCCATCCTAAGAAGAACTGCACCCTCCGAAGCCCGTTGGCTTCAGTGGACTGAGAAGGGGATAAATCCTCTTTAAGATGGTATTCTTGCTTCTACTGTTCTAGCTCTGTGCACCATCATTGTCTTCATTAGGCACTCAAAAGACAGAGACCCGATTTTCTTGGCAGAATCACTGGGCCTTTGTTGCTAAAACTGGAGAAACAGGGCGAAAGGATCTATAGCTGGCCTTTGGAACTTTCCCCACCTCGTTGGAGTCCATGGAGTGAGAAGGGTGTAGCGACACAGCCAGTGACTTATGGGTTGTCAGGACAATCCTAAACAGTTGTACCCTGACATCCATTGAAGTCAACACCCTCAGAGGGCTATTACTCTGCTTAGGAATGCACTGGATTTCTCTTTTCTCCATGCCCAATCACTCATAGCAGAGTTTCGTTAATGTTAAAAGAAGACTGTAGTTCGAGGGGACTGCCTCAGGGCAGCTGCTGAAACGAGGGTGCCCTCTCCTTCTGCCCGACCCACAAACACACCAGCTTTTATGAAACGCCACAAAGCATAGAAGGACAGCTGCACTCTAGCTCCCCGAGGGCACCCAGAAACAGGTGGAGGCCCCTTTCGAGCCCCTTCTCCCTGGTGTGAACTCTGCCCTGCTGTGTATGTTTCAGAAAGTATGGCTCAAGTACAGAACAAGGAATAGTCTCTGCCAAAGGCCAGTCACCTGGAGAGGCTGGGGGGTGAACAACACTTTGCCCGTTTATCTGTGGGAGAGGAAAAAGCAGCTGAGATGCAGAAGGCAACTTGCTTTCTGCTGAAGGAGGGTCTGTTCTCAGGGTCCAAGGCTTGAGGCTAGATCAGGCAGCTCAGCCTACAGTTGTATATCTTTACTCTAGTAGGAGGCATATAGAAATTCAGTCAGAGTCTGAGAGCACCAGGAAGGTCAGGGTACACGGAAAGAACTAGGTCCAATCATGACTTATAGGGTTGCCAGTCTCCAGGTGGTGGCTGGAGTTCTCCCGAAATTACAACTGGCCTGCAGGTAAAAGAGATCAGTTCCCCTGGAGAAAATGTCTGCTTTGGGAGGTGGGACTCTATGGCATTATACCCCACCGAGGTCCCTCCTCTCCCCAAGCTCCGCCCTTCCCAGGCTCCACCTCCAAAATCTTTAGGAATTTCACAATCCAGAGCTGGCAACTCTGCTTATGAACTAGATTCATGTCGAGGAAGAGAGACTTCCCCTGGCTCTGTGGAGTCACCACCTATTTGTACATCGGTACTCCATTTCTCTGGCCTTTCACTCCCATCTTGAGCATTCTCCCCACCCTGCAATGTTTTGCCATGTAATGCTTGCTTCTAAGTACGTATTCTTTTTTTGCCTTGCTATTCAATATTCATGTGTTTACTGACTGCATGCCACAGTCATATGCGGTTCCCCAAGGCTGCATGAGCTTGCGGGCTTGTTGGGAATGAGGGCAGGATGTGTGTGGAAGGCACAGAACACAGCCTTTGAGATCAGGGGCTGCTCTCCAAGCAGCACAGCTCATGTGCTTCCAAGCAGTCTAGCATCCCGCGGAGAAATACATGAATAAGTGTGTAGCCAAACATGACATTAAATCATTTTGTAGGCAGCAAAGTGAGAGGAGTGGGGGAGGGGGAAGCCAGGTCCTTTCCAGTGTGCCATGCTGGTGAGTGGGAAGCTCAAATTTAGTGGTAGTAGAGAATTTCTAAATGGAGGCTTAAGTACAACTATGCGATAAAATAGACATTGACACCTTTGATTGGAAAACCATTTCTAAAGCCGAATACAAATTATTGGTATTTGGTTAGCCTAGAGTTCCTAAGCGAGATTTCTTTTATTATTATTATTGTATACAGACTTTTTATGATATTATTCATTGTATAACTGTGGTCAGAGAGTCGCCATTTTGTATCGCAGTTTTTATATTAAAATTAAAAAAAAAAGTACAACTATGCAGAATGTACCAAAATCAAGATTGAATTGGGGCAGGGTTGAGGTTTCTGGGGCCTTCTGGCCTGCTGCTGATGACCGGGCTTCTTGAAAAGTGGCCTCAGTGAAAATTAGTGGGTATTTTCCTCGGAAGTGTATACCTTCTGTTGTGGACTGGGGCATCATTGGCAGAGTGCATGCCTTGTATACAGAAGGTCCTACGTTCAGTCCCTGGAAACACCAGTTTAGAAAAATCTCACTTCATGGGACTGGGAAAGACACCTCCCCCCCTCCCGGACATCCCGGAAGGGCCTCCATCTGACAGCAAACTCATACATGACTACACATGAAGCTGCCTTATACTGAATCAGTCCCTGGGTCCATTGTCTACTCAGACTGGCAGTGGCTAGTCTTTCAGATCACCTACTGCCTGAACCTTTTAACTGGAGATGATGGGGCTTGAATCTGGAACCTTCTGCATGCCAAGCAGATGCTCTACCACTGAGCCACAGCCCTTCTGCTGTGATGCTGTGGATGCCATCTCACATGGCCAGGCAGCAGCTGCGCACACACTTCCACACCCACCCCACCTTGCTCCTGAGCTGGCCGTGAAAGGGGACCAGCCAGACCCCTTGGCTAGACAGATGGGGAGGGGGGAAGGTCTGTGTCACTTTGAAGGAAGGAGGCAGTGGGAGGAGGCGCACTGCTAGGGCTGCCAGGTCCAACTCAGGAAATATCTGGGGGCTTTGGGGGTGGAGCCAGAAGACTTTGGGGTGGAGCCAGGAGCAAGGATGTGACATCACTTTTGTGATGTCACTAGGTTTGCTAGGTGAGGCCAACAAGCTGGAAGGGAGTTCTGGCATTCCTTTTAAATGCTGGAAGGGAGTTAAGTATTCCTTTTAAACGCTTTCCCTCCATTGGAAATAATGGAGGAGGGGGCACCTTCTTTTGGGGCTCATAGAATTGGACCCCCTGCTTCAATCTTTTTGAAACTTGGGGTGTTGTTTTTTTTCAGGAGAGCCACCACCAGCTATGCTGAAAATTTGGTGCCTCAGTCTCAAAAATCAGCCCTCCTGAGCCCCAGATACCCATGGATTGATTCTCCATTATATCCTATGGGGACCAGTGTCCATAACAGTATAATTGAGAACCCAGTGGCCATCCCCCCCGCGTTCTGACTGCCCTGAAGCAGAGGGAGGGGCTCCAAACCAGGGGATTTCCTGCCCCCAACTGGGGATTGGCAACCCTAAGCTCTGCCCCGGGGAAAGTGGCCGCCACCTAGCAAGCTGGATACAGCAATGCACAAATTCTGTATAAGACCATGGCATACACTTACTTACTGCCAATTTTAAACCAGGCTCCATTATTAACTCAATTTCAGATGAATTCACTGCTTAATATATTTTACTCTCACAAAATCAAAATTTCTATAATGATAAGAGACTCAAGAGAGAAAGCCACTACAGTTGAAAACCATACCCAAATATTTTAAGTAATAAAGATGGGATTAATGTGGTCACCCTTCTCCCAATAGTATTTTGACAACAGAGCATGAATGTATTTCTGAGCCTTGGCTTCATAAATTAGAAGTGATTTCTCAAATAGGATTTGCTGTGTAATTTGGAATTCTCATATGACTGAATTATCTAATTACTCAGGTTTGTTGCCAGGTGCACATTCTCATGCCCCTTTTGGTCATTTTTATGACAGTGTAAAGTGAACGCCTTGCTACTCGATTGCATTATACTTCTGATACAACTCTCAGTACTTTCATATACTATCGGTGAATGTGGTGTCATTGATCTTTCAGACTCCTTCTTCGGCAAATGGCAAACTGGCTGAAGAAGGGTGGGGAGGGGAGGCCGTCCCATCATTTCAATCTGTTGACTTCTGAGAAGGGTTACATTAGAGAAACCTCTTGAAGACCAATATATGGGGGGGGGGAGGAATTGCAGCACACACAAAAACAGGCAACATGTTGTGCTGCAATAAACACGGCACCCAATCAAATACCTTTGCTCAGATCTTTCCAATAAATATTTACACACAGTCTCTTTGTTGTTCCTATGCAAAAGAACAGAACAAACTTTCCTCAATCTCCATTACTGTTTTCTACTTCATTCCTGGATAACTCACGTTCTAGGAAATCTGTCTCCGTTTGCATACATGTGCACTTTTCTAGCACTCAGGTCTATGTTTTGGAAGAGCTAATTGCATCTCCAACATTAATATAAAAGGTTCCTGTGTCCGTTGTACTAAGGAAATGACCACTCATGATATACTACGAGAGCTGCTGTTGGTCCTGTTTAGCTGTCTAAAAGATATTGATGTTTCTGATGACTTAGAGGAAGCCCAAACAGCAATACCCAGCATTTTTAAAAAGCGAGAATAACAGTTTTCCAGAGTCTAGGAAAGGGGTGTCTCCAACCATACTGATCAGTACCGTTCAGATTAGAGAACGGAAACAAACAGATATGCCTATTTTAAAACATGGCCACTGTTTATTCATGTACTTCAGCTATACCCCAACTTTCTCCCCAGTGGGGACCCAAAAGCACCTTACAGAGTTCTTCTTGCCTCCATTTCATCCTTACCACAACCCTGTGAGGTAGGTTAGGCAGAGCGTGTGTGACTGACTCCAGGTTTTACCCAGCAAGCTTCCATGGCAAAGTGGAGATTCAAACCCGGGTCTTCCAAATCCTAGTCTGACATGGAAGCTCACTGGGTGATCCCCCCTAAGACAGTCATTCTATTTCAACTGCTTCACAGGGCTGTTGTGAAGATAGAGTGGGAGCAGGGGCACGTATCTCATCTCAATATAAAACAAATAACGGATGTAAAAACACTAATGAAAACAGGTGAAGTTTCTAATGTTCTGGAATGATGAAACACAAAACAATATACAGCTATGAGCATTATTAAAACCATTATGATTAACTGTTTATTTGGCTACCTCCCTGCATTTTTATCTCCAGTAATGGAAATAATTCTTTTTATGTTCACCCAGGAGAAAGATTAAGTAGTTTTAAAGCTGTTTGAGGAAGAATGACTGTCTTGACAGCTTTTCTTACAATTCCCAAAGGCATGATATCATTAAGAAAATGTTATTTATTTAGATTTACATCTTGCTGTGTTTGAAGATGGATAACAAGAGTCTCACGGTATATAAATGGGACCTTGAAAAGCTTCATAATAAAGAAAATCTCAAATAAAGGGAACCTAAAGGAGGGGGAGATATTATTTAAATAGATTTATCAAAAATACATATTTGGAAAACAGGTCTTCCAAATATAAAAAATATTATGCATTATAAGAAGTGCAACTGTGGCAAGGGGAAGCAACTTAATCATTCCTTCCCAACTAACCAACAGAGTGCATCCCTGTTTTGCAGTCTAAGAGGTGCCACAGTGCACAATACAATGGCATTAGCAACCTCTCATCTTCGGTACTTAGGGTTTCATGGAGTTTTACTTTTAGCCATGAGACGCAGTGAATGGCTAAGACCACTCACACGCGATGTGCAAGAAGTCCAGCTGCAACATGTTCATTTAACTGGACTGCTCCCATTTATCTGGAAATAAGGACCTAGTTCTTGAATGGTTTATTCTCAAGGGGAAAATAATAGTCAGAGTAGAGTGCAATGGCACCGTTCCCACGGGCCTTCTCCAGTCAGTGAGTGGCCTTTGCCCCGCAGGGTCTAAACAATGTAGGTGCCATTCCGACTGTAAAACAAATGGTCACAACACCAATTATCTGCCAGCAATCAAGGCTTTGGCAGCAGCTCTTCATAAGCATTCATACAGACTCATTTCTCTGTGTGTGTTGCTGTTTTTTTGGTAAATGACACACTGGAGCCAACCAGCCCATCGACTGAAGCAGCTATGATATGCAAGCAAAAAGGAAGTCCATGGTAGCCATGATGGTTTCCATCTGGAAGGACCACAGGGAAGGGCACCCTCTCATTTGGTGCATTCATCCTTCCAAGTACCTGAAGGAACAGCCCCATCTGGCTCATGCGGTTCCTATAGCACAATTAGCCCTGCAGCGTTTATTATTTGGCTGTTCCTATGGTGGTACATAAAAATTAGGTTCATCTCTCTCTCTCTCTCTCTCTCTCTCTCTCTCCCTCCACATATAATTTGGGTGGGTTTATTTATAGGAGCACTGTGACCTGGATGGCTCTAGCTAGCCTGATCTCATCATTTCCTGGAAGCTAAGCAGGGACAGCATTGGTTAGGACTTGGATGGGAGAACATCAAAGAAGTCCAGGGTTGCTGTGCAGAGGCAGGCAATAGCAAACCATCTCTTGCCTTGAAAACCCAGGAATCAATTGCAACATGACGGGATTTTCCACCACAATGGTGGCGGCTAACAGGGAATAACTGCATATTCATGGCTGCTTTTTACTTGTGAATATTGTGGCAACACAATCAAAGAAGGTTATTTGTGGACCATAGGTGGATTTTATAATCACTGGGCTAGTGATTGCACTAAAAAGGTTTCATGTGCATATTTATCCTGTGCCTGGTTACTTTACTTCTGAACAATTTACTTTATGGTCCTTATTGAATTTGTATTTTGTATATATTCCTGATTGTGTCTTTATGAATGTAACTATTTACCATCTAGCCACATTTGTATGACCTCTGAGGAAGGCCGATTCGGCCGAAACGCGTCAGGTCAACTCTTTTAGCCCTGGTTATGGTTATGTTTTATATATATTGGTTGTAATTGGGCCCCTATATATGTTTTAATTTGATATTATCAATAAATACATGTACCTCTTTTTATGAAAAGGTTTTAATTTTGGCCCTCCTTTCCACTAACCTTTGCTTGGTTTTGGAGTTCTTTGTTAGGTTTAGTTTCTTTCCCTTTCTTGTTCCTGCTAACAGGGAATAACACCATCTGGCTGGAATGCTCCCCCACAACTCCTTATATTTCAGATGAGCTGTATGAATGGTGTCAGCATGGATATGGGCAAACTCCTCTCAGCCTGGAGTACCAATGCAATAGTGAGTGTGCGGCCATCACGGCAGCATGAGGAAAATATCCTCTTAATGAGTACGATACTGAGATTAATCAGACAAAGGAGACACCCCATTCCTGGGTGTAATTCAATAGTTTAGCTCTCAATGGTGAGATTCGTGGGAGTCAGAGGTCAATCAGCCATTACCCATGACTATTAAATGGAATCTCCATTTACAGAGGAGGTGTTATCTCGTCACATCAGGTCCTCCGTTTCACACTCTGCTTGAGAACTTTGCAGGAAGTTCAGGCTGGCCACTGCAGAAAACACAGCCATATTTTAGATGGCCCATTCTCTGTGTCTTTACTAGGCTAATCCGTAATTACCCTGGTACTGAATTTCAGAACAAAATAAGAGACCTTTGGCAGAAATGTGGATCAGCCAGCTCCATGACATATTTATTTCTTAAAACCTGTGTAAGGATAATTTCTTGTCTGTTTTTTTCTCCAATGGTCTTCACACTTCATCTCTCAAATGAGTCAAATTATAGCTGCTGATACTAGGTTGCATCCAGACTAAACCGGCAATGTCCACCTCCTGTAAGACACCCCCCCCATCCACCCTTGCAGCAGCCTTCAAGTTCTTATATTCACCAGGAGCAGCATTTTGTGGAGATCAGTAGCTTTCAGTAGGAGGAGGGGAGGCAGGAAAGTACCATGCTAATATTGGAAAGCTTAGTCTGGATCCAACCCATTCTTTTCCAGAAACTCATCCCTTATATTGTTTTAAAAGCCAAGACTGACTAGGGATCACCACTTGCCATTTGGGTACATAATTATTCTAGTGTTTATGCAAGTTTGACCCTTCTTTCTTTCTGCAACCAAAGTTCTTGAAGCTGACATTGACAGCAGAATGAGGGAGAGAATGAGGGAAATCAAAGTCAGCTGAAGAAGACCAGGTTGGGCAGAGCCCGTGCTCTTTCCTTCAGGTAATTCTTGGCCCTTAGCCTGTGGCCTTATGGGTACTGTGCAGATGGAACCAATACCAGCTTGGAGATCGTTGTGGCTCATGAACAACTTGAATTTGGCATTGGGTGTATTTTTTTTCTCTGTCAAGTCACATCTGACTTATGGTGACCGCTGGTGGGATTTTCGAGGCAAGAAATGCTCAGATGTGGTTTGCCATTGCCTGCCTCTGCTTAATGACCCTGGTATTCCTTGGTGATCTCCCATCTAAATACTGACCATGGCCGACCCTGCTTAGCCTCCAAGATCTGATGAGATCAGGCTAGCCTAGGCTATCCAGGTCAGAGTTTGGAGAAGGGGAATATACATTTTTTAAAATTGTAATTTTTTACACTTATTTCATAAGTTGCTTTGAGTCTCCAGTGTGGGAGAAAATCCAGATGAAAACCATTCAAAATCAATAAGTGTAAAAACATGACAGAGTGCTCAGCTTAAAGGAAATGTTGCCACAGCAGGCGCTTGTCTTCCTCCAAATGCAAAGAAGAAGAGGAGGAGACTGGATTTATACCCCGCCCTTCACTACCCAAAGGTATCTCAGAGCGACTTACAAACTCCTTTCCCTTCCCCTCCCCACAACAGACACACCCTGTGAGGTCGGTGGGTCTGAGAGAGCTCTGACACAAACTGCTCTCTTTTCAAGAACAGCTCTTGGCTTGCCCAAGGTCACCCAGGTGGCTGCATGTGGAGGAGTGGGGAATCAAACCCGGTTCTCCCAGATTAGAGTCCGCACACTTAGCCACTACACCAAACTGGCTCCGAATACCTGCAGTTGTCTCATCTGGTGCAGCTGAAGGCGCAGATCCGTCACATTGCGCTTTATGTCGAAGAGGCTGACTTGCATGGGGGTGGAGCCCAGTGGCGCGGAGTGGCTGATGCTTGCAGTGCTGGGCTCCGTGGATGCAACTGATTTCTTCCCACTAGAGGTGTGAGCAGATCCTAAAGGCAAACAGCAAATGATGTCATTAAGAGTGCCAGTTCAGCCACCTCCTCCTTCCTGTTTCAACGATAAAACATCGGGGCTCCTACACCTCAGTTAATTTGCAGAGAGGAAACATGATCAGAGATCGGCCTCAGGCCCCCTCCCCTCCTATTATGGCCATGACTGCCTCCCCCTCAATTAAACAGTAACATGGTATGATAGAAAACAACCGTCTGGGCTAATGACTTTAGAAATACAGTTATCATCAAGTGATAATTGCAGTTTATCACACTAAACGCAGATTGTTAAGCAAGACTTCAATTTGCCCATATGCTCGGATAATTGATGGGACCTGATCAACAGCGATGTTCAGTGATCTGCTCTCAGGCACGCTCACTGACGTATCATCTCTCTAATAACCCTGCTCGGAATGCGCTACAAGCAAAGATGAGGGAGGAATGCATAAGGAAAGGCTCCCAACTAGTTCAAATGCCTGATTCACCCTGCACACGGCAATCAACCAGCATCTGATGTCAACCACCAGGGCTATTGTCAGGGGTTGGCATGGATGGGCATACGCCAAAGTCTACAATCCAGCAGGGAGTCTACTGCTGAGAGCCCCTGGGACTCTGGTGCTCCCTCTCACCACTGCTGCCCGGGTATCGGGAAGAAGAGAGATAAGCAGCAAGGGTGCTTATGAGGAGCCGCAGCTGCCACCACTGCATATTCATTGCTGGTCCTCTTTGCCACCACTTTGCTTCGCTCTGATGTAATATTTCACAGATTCAGGTCCATGGAATGTGGTGGAGGGGATGGCATCAGTCACAGTGACTCAGTGCTCATTTAGGAGAACTTGCTTGGTGCTCCCGATTAACAAGGGACTCAAAGGGCCAGTTTATACTCATGCACAGTATGTTGACAATACTAGTTCAGTACAATTAAATTAAATTAAATCAGAAGAGTTTTCGGCTAAACATTAGGAAAAACTTCCTGACAGCTAGAGCGGTTCCTCAGTGGTTCAGGCTTCCTTTGGAGGTGGTGGGCTCTCCTTCTTTGGAGGTTTTCAAACAGAGGCTGGATGGCCATCTGACAGCACTGCGGATTCTGTGAACTTAGACAGATCATGAGAGGGAGGGAGGGCAGGAAGGGTTGCCTCAGTGCTTAGTTCTTGTGGCCCTTTCTTATACGCCCAGGAAAATGCTGATTGCCACTTTGGGGTCAGGAAACAATTTTTCAACCGGCCAGTTTGGCTGGAGATCCCGGAGGTTTTTTGTCATCTTCTGAGCATGGAACAGAGGTCACTGGAGGCGGGGTGGGGGGAGGGATTTGTGAATTTCCTGCATTGTGCAGGGCATTGGACTAGATGACCTGGAGGTCCTTTGCAACTCTATGATTCTGTGATCAGTGATGCTTCGAAATTCTAGTATATCATGATCTATTTTCAATAATAATAATGATGATGATGCACAATTTTACAAACCTCTGTAATGTCCCCTCTATCATGTCTACTTTTGTCTAAACCAAAAAGCTGCAAAATTTCCTTCCACCCCCCTACATTGAATCAGTTAGTTCATGCATGTGCATTTACATCCACGAGCACTACAGACAACAAAGATTATAGATTTAACTGTTAAGTGTCCAAGGGAGGGGGGCAGAACTCTGAAGACTCACAAACTAAGTAACTTACAGCAAAAACAGGGACAATGATTTCCTAGGGACAGATTTCAAAAAGTCAGGATTGTCCCTGGAAAATCAGAACAGGAATGTATCAGGTTAGCTTTAAAATAAGATGGATGCTCATTGTTCCTTGAATATTCTACAAAGGCTATAACACGATTTAATTTTGCCAATGGTTAGCTATCACCGGCCTCCCAAATAAACTTATTTAATGTACATTTGATGTCTTTTTGTGAAGTAACTGGACAGATGCAAGAAAGGAGTAATGGCACCATTAAACAGCAGTAATTGCTTTTCACTGGCAGACAGAAATAGGAAAGGAGAATCAGAAACATCAGAATGATCTGAATTCCTGCGCCATTAATGATATGGGATCTAGTTCAGATGGCTCATGGTTCCGATTTTGTCAGGACTGCTCAGAAAAAATCATATCCCTACATGAAGAACTATCAGTATTGGGATACAGAAATAGTTTAAACTTCAAATAACACATAAATCATATATGCAGAGGCTGGATTGCTTAGAAACATACTCAGATATACCTTTTAAACTACACTAAAACAAGCTCACAGTTTAGGATTGGCTGGAAGTCTGCTACTTGCTCACAGTCATACTGTGAACATCAGAACATAAGATAAGCCAATGTTCAGGGCTGGCACGAGGTGTTTCTGCGCCCTAGGCAAGGCTGCCTTGTGGCACCCCCCTTGTGGATGCCTAGTTCGCCTGGCAGGTGAGCCGGCCCTGCCAATGTTGTATCAGGCCAATGGGCCATCCAGTTCCAACACTGTCACGCAGTGGCAAAAACTACCAGGTGCCATCAGGAGTGGAACCAAGACACTAGAAGCCCTCCCACTGTTGCCACCCCCCCAAGCACCAAGAATATAGAGCATCACTTGCCCCAGACTGAGAGTTCCTATCTATACCTTATGGCTAATAGCCACTGATGGACCTCTGCTCCAAATGTTTATCCAATTCCCTCTCGAAGCCATTCATGCTTGTAGCTGCCACCACCTCCTGTGGCAGTGAATTCCAAGTGAGTGAAGTACTTCCTTTTATCCATTCTAACCTGAGTGCTCAGCAATTTCATTGAGTGCCCACAAGTTCTTGTATTGTGAGAAAGGGAGAAAAGTACTTATTTCTCGACCTGCTCTATCCCATGCATAAACCTGTAAACCTCAATCATGTCACACCTCAGTCATCATTTCTCCAAGTTAAAGAGCCCCAAGCGTTTTAACCTTTCTTCATAGGGAAAGTGTTCCAACCCTTTTATCATTCTAGTTGCCCTTTTTTGCATTTTTCCAATGCTATCATAGCCTTTCTGAGGTGTGGTGACCAAAACTGCACACAGCATTCCAAATGAGGTCACACCATTGATTTATACAGGGACATTATGATACAGGCTGATTTATTTTCAATTCCCTTCCTAATAATCCCCAGCATAGCGTTGGCCTTTTCTATTGCAGTCGCACATTGTCTTGACATTTTCAGTGAGTTATCTACTATGACTCCAAGATCTCTCTCTTGGTCAGTCTCTGACAGTTTATAGTTAGGATTTTTGGCCCCAATGTGCATCACTTTGCACTTGGCCACACTGATTTGCCACAGTGATGCCCACTTGCCTGTCCTTGACAGATCCCTGTGGAGTGCCTCACAATCCTGGTTTTCACCACCCTGAACAATTTTGTGTCATCTGCAAATTTAGCCACTCCTTACTCCCAACTACAAATCATTAATGAACATGTTAAAAAGCATCAGACCCTGTGGTACCCTACTGCTTAGCACCCTTCACTGTGAAAATTGTCCATTTATACTCTTTCTGTGTTTCCTATTAATTAGCCAGTTTTTATCCACAAGAGGACTTGTCCTTTTATCCCATGACTATTAAGCTTACCTGGAGCCTTTGATAAGGAACTTTATCAAAAGCTTTCTGTAAGTCAAGGTAGACAACATCTATTGTGGAACAGCACATTCAAAAATACATACTCTGCTCTGAAACTGAGAAGTACTAGTAGCCAGGGCTATTTTTGGGCAGGAACGCACAGGAACGGAATTCTGGCTGGCTCCCAGGTTGGCCACGCCCAGCAGGAACTCATTAGCATAATAGGCCACAACCAACAGCAGAAACTCATTAGGATTGGCTACATTAGGGGTGTGTGGCCTAACATGCAAAGGAGTTCCTGCTACAAAAAAAGGCCCTGGGTTTTGACAACAAACAAGGTAAACAGAATAACAAGCAAAAGGTGGGTGTGGCTGGATAACCACAGTTCTGGTAACATGGGGGTGTGTCCTAATGTGCTAATGAGATATGCTGTCAGGGGTGTGGCCCAATATGCTAATGAGTTCCTGCTGTTGGGTGTGGCCTATTATGCTAATGAGTTCCTGCTGGGATTTTTCTACAAAAAGAGCCCTGCTAGTAGCCATTTTTGCTAAGTGATCCTTAAGGTATATTTAGATGTCCTTTTAAGCCAACATTAATTTTTATGTTTTTGCTTCCAAATCGCATGTGACTTATGGCAACCTCATAGGGTTTTCAAGGTTAGGGAAATTCAGAGATGGTTTGGTTCATGGGTATCAGCTTAACATTAGCTTAAAGTAATGTCTGAATGCAACCTCAGAGGGGATCCCCTCTGTTTCCACCCTCTTATTTATTCTTACGAACGCAACAAATATGCCACTTCCATCTGGTAGCTGATGCTGAAGCTCTCATAGGCCCTGTGTCTGAATACCTAACCATAGCTAAATATTGGTGACAGACAAGGTTGTCCAGTCATAGTTGAACTATATTTGCAAACCACAGTCACATTTTTAAGGCAGCTTCCCCATCTCTCCAACCCATCTGCTTACAACAAAGTGGGCAAGCAGGTCATGCTGGAGCTTACACGTCCTGCAGGGCAGGGCATGCCTCAGCAAAGCTAAGCCAAGGCTTGACAGTACATTAGGGAAACTGTCTAGGGTTCAGGCAACAAACCAATTGTTATGCCTCATGCCTGTGCTGGGCATTTGACACTTGGAATGGGTCCTCCCTTCTTTTGCATAATTCTGTTGCAAAATCAACTTAATCTAAAAGGATGAAACCCTCATGCGAAGAGCATCCTGTTATTTTTCATCCCCTGCTTTCTGCCATGCTTTCCCTCCCATCCGCTACAATCAGCTACAATTTTCTGTTGCATGTGGCTGATTCCCAGTGGATAACACTAACGCCAGTTGCAACAGAGTCCCTCCTTGGCTGCTTCAGTCATGCTTCCATTTTGTAGGATGGGCATGCAGTTTAGCTATGCTCCCTAATTTAAAAAAGAAACACACAAACACTCACATAAAACTTAACATAGAACAGGACGGTGATAAACAGATTTATTTTTTACTGACCCCCCATGCAGTGGCCTTGAAGTTTTTCACATCAGTGAGATCACAGACGGGCATGATACCAACACACCAAATCCTCCTGTTGCCTGCCTGTCGCTCAGCTGATGAGCTTCTGAAGGAAGCTCCCATTCAGAAAGGGGAAATGAGGGCAGGGGAAACATCCTGGCTTGTTCTCCTCTGGCTAAGTCACACGTTTCCAGCTGGCATCTGCTCGGGACTATGTTTCGAGGGTATAAAAAGATTCTGCATCATCTTCCCAGGGGAGAAATAAAGACGACGGCCTGGCAGATGCACATTCCTCCCCTGCCTACCACACCCGCCCATCCCTGCCAGCCTCCCAAAAACATCTCGTTCCAGGCAGCTCTGCACTGAGACCCAGCACTGCGGGGAAAGTGCGGGGAATACACGGCCTGTGCACAAGTACAACATTCACAAGCAAGCTGCAAAACAGCGTATGCTGGGGAACGGGATGCTTCACAGAGCACCAAAGTTAAGCCGGTTCTCTTCATGCTCAAGTGGTGGCCAGGAAATAATCTTTTTGAGCAAATAAGAGTCAAATCTCAGGGCTACAGCGAGTACGCACATGCCTCTTGGCACACTTAAAAGCTCCACTTGCATTTCTGGAGGATGCCCCTATCCCCGCACAAAACACACTGGCAACTGGGATGTATTTTTCTGAAATAGTTCAAGAAAAATTGTTTGTCTCTCTGTTTACTTGAAAATCGATAAATATATTATAAAAAAAAGAAAAGAAACTTCAGCCTTTCACATAGGTCTGGAAAAGCAGTACTATCCATCAAAAAGCCAAACATGCTGGAGGGACTGTGGTTTCCTGTTTATTACAGACACTCAGACTCCACACACCCTGTTGCCTTCGAGGGGTCGGCCTGCAATGGCCAGTTTTCATGAGAGCTCTCACCAAAAATAGCCCACAGAGTGGGGGCAGTCTGCACCTCACCCCAAGATCAACCGCTCATCATCTCTGCTCTGTGCTCACCTTCCTGCTTTTATTCACACTCAAGTTGGCACCACACTAAAGAGGAGCAAGCCTTCCCAGGATCAACCAGAACACATTTTATGCTGCACGAGTCTTACCCATCTTTCATGTTTGGAGCCTTGTTTATCAGATGGAAAACCAAATTTTGTAAGCTGATTTTGCGCAAATAAACAAATCTACCCATCCACTTGGCTATTTTTTTTACCAGTATACACTTTGCCATTCTCTCTCTCTCTCTCTTGAAAGAGGGAAATGACACTCTATGTAAAAGCTATTGATACATTCTCTCCTTGGTGCGTTGCTATGCAAAGGGATCCCTGTGGAGATCAGTACAGATCTTTAACTTTCCCAACAGCCCTGGGCCTGGTAGTATGCAATTATGAGTGCACTGAACCATGCGCAGCTATTAGCTATAATGACAAGTTTGTGCGTGGCTCCCATACAACACCGAGAACCTGGTCTGTGCACACTCTAAGAATAGCAAGTTATGATAACAAGTCAAGACAGCAAGTCAATATTCCTGTACCAGTAGAAGTGAAGACAGCAAGTCAATATTCCAAAATTCAACAGGTAAGTATAACAAATCAGTCAGTATAACACAAATCAGTGTAGCAATTCAACAGGTAAATCTGGTATACAACAGGTCTGTATAACACAGGTAAGTGTAATATACAACAGATCTAAATACCTGTTGTATACCAGATTTACCTGTTGAATTGCTACACTGATTTGTGTTATACTGACTGATTTGTTATGCTTACCTGTTGAATTTTGGAATACTGACTTGCTGTCTCAACTTGTTATCATAACTTGCTATTCTTTGAGATAAAAGGTTATTTTTGTCTGTTAGCGTCTTATTCCCAGCTTTCTTTCCCCCTTACGGCTGATGCTGGGAAGTCTTTTTGTGTGCATTCTGTGCACACTCTATGCACAATGCGCTAGATGGCTGGACTGCTGCACAAGAGCCATGGATGGGCCTTCCATTTTTGGTAATGGCCAGGAACGATGCAGTGTTATGGGGAGCCTAGTCCCTGACAATTGCACCCTTTCTTTTCGCTAGGCCACCTGAAGTTTCCAGGGTTCTGGCCTCAGAAGACAGAGCCTTGATCTAGCTGTTAATTCCTAGATGTCCAAAGCACACAACTCAAGAAGCAACTCTCCTACCTGCTCTAGGCTATCCCTATCCCTTGAAGACTCGTCTGTTCGTTCCTCATAAATATCCTAAGGAAACATCCCTTTTAAATTATCTATAGATTGATAAGTGACCCCCCTCCCCAAATCCCCCAAGTTGCTAGAAGTCCAGGGACAATATCTACAGAAATTAGCCTCCTCGGAGTGAGAGAACCTGACTGGTAGCTTTGTACAATCTGCTCATTTAAAAACATACAAACCAAACCTATTGGCAGCAAGCAGACTCCTAAAAATAGGCAGTACAGCCACTAATCATGGTTCGGCTTGCCAAAGAGCAATTGTCCAGGAAAGTGGCTTCAGTTCTGGCAAACTCCAGCTGAAGGACTCTCAGCTCATCCCCTCTCCATCCGGATTTTAACTGCGAAACCCTTTCTCCTGCTGCCTCCCTCTGTCTTCCCCATTTTCTGCTGGATAAATCTGTCAGGCCATGACTTAGATGGCCCAGGCTTGCCCAGCCTCACAGATCATGGAAGCTAAGCTGGGTGGGTCCTGGATGGGAGACCACCAAGAGAGTTGGCAAACCACCTCCCTCTTCTTCCATTGCCTCGACAACGCTATGGGGTCACCGTAAGTCGGCCGTGACTTGACGGCACTTTACACACACACACACGCGCGCACAAATCTGTCAAAGGACACTGGACCTTTTTGTTAAGTCCCTGATCTCCTTCCCTTCAAGGCTGTTACGTAAAACCATGTAGAAAAGTCTGTTTCTGCTAACCAAGACTGCCAAACTCATCGCACCTCACAGAAAAACAAGGTCTTTTCAGACATTATGTCCACACATACTGGGAGTCTGGCAATCACACACAGAGTCCACCAGATATGAATGGTTGCCATATTATTTTGTCAGGGGCAACACATAGGTATTTTCATGTGGGCTACCCGGCAATGATCTACCTGGCCGGGCAGGGCTTGCCCCTGTACCCAGCAGCAAGACTCATTTGGGCGCAGGAGGGAGGAGCCAGGGCAGCCTCAACAGCAGGGCAGCTTTGGCAGTCTGCTACAGGGAGTCTCAGAAACCAAGGAGGCAATGGGTAAACCATGGCTCTGTGGGCCTTGGGTGGCTTAAGGCAGGGTGTGGCTATGGAGAGAAGGAGCTGGCTAAAGAGGAGGGAATAGAGGAGGGCGGAGCTTAGCACAAGGCCCAGGTATAGGGCTGGGGCTACAAAGAAAGAAGAAGGGGGAAAGGGGAAGAGGCTGGCTGGAGGTAGAGAGGACTGGAGCTGAGGCAGAAGGGAAGCCAAGCTAGCCAGGAGAAGGAGGAGGAGGAGGAGGAGGATGAAGAAGCCAGAGAGAGGGAGAGAAATTGGCTTGGAGAGGTTCCTAGGCAAAGAGGCAGGCGACAGAGTTGTGGCTTTTCTCCCTCATAACGCATTGTAAGCTTGAGCTGGGTGAAGCTAACCATACCTTCAGGTACTTGGACTACTCCATTTCTAGTGAACAGCCTGTGTAAGAAAACAGTGACTGGGATGGTGCTTTGGACCTAAGGTGTGGTGGTTCCCTGCCTCCAGAGGATGCCACAGCGCAGAAAGCTTCTGTACGCACAGACTGACAACTGGATTCTTCAGGGTTGTTGCTCACATGTACTGAAGTCATAAGAGGCATGCAAAATATGCATATCTCCACTGTTCCGACAATGTGGGAACTGCTGTTGCGTGTACCAGGAGCTCTGAGGGTAATCCACACTCCTGATGTGCGTAGCTTCCAGGCTGCTGTTATGTGTGGACATAATGTCTGAAAATGGCTAGATATATGTAGGTGCGCACGCACACACAAACACACACACACTTAACCCCCCTAACTCTTACCTGACTTCTCAGTGCTGTTTTTACTGGACACAGTTTTCACTGTCTTCTCACTAAATTGAACAGGGAAAAAAAAATTAAGAGACTCATGCAAGTTGGACACACAGCTTACAACAATCAAGAAATATGCTTTCAAATCACAGCATTTAAAAATAGTTTATCTAAAAACAGGCTATTCTTTATGATTGTGATCAGTTAAGTTGTAGGACCTCTCTGTAAATACACGTTTAAACATGAATAAATTTCCACCACAAAACACAAGCATCTAATCACATTAACTGTAAGACCAGGAAGAAGGACATGGTGAAATCCCCATGTGTCGTATAGAATAGTCTGCTTTTCTTGATTTAAAATGAATCTATGTAGATGTCAATTACTAAGCCGTAATCCTGACCCAAAGGAAGTCGATGACAAGAATTTTCAGTGGCATCGCTGAGGTCAGGATTTTGCTCTCAGAGTTTGCTGGGGGGCTTTCCCCCTTGCACTGATTGAAGAAATAACGACAGAGAAACAGACTGAATGAATTCTTGGTTTTTACCTAGAAGCATCTTTGCTATTACTTGTATTTGGCCCTTTTAAAAGCGCAGACTGAACAAGGCCAGTTAAACTGGCTATCTGTTTCTCCATGGCTTGCATCCTCTCTCTGTAAGACAAGACAATTGTTTGTTAAAGCCAAATGTATTTACTGTAAATACTTGTTTTTTTTTCTTAGGGGAATAAAGATTGTGGGACCATGAAGATATCCTGAGATTGTTCAGTGCCTTCTGAGCACACATTTGCATGTCCTTTCTGGCCAAAGGCCAGCCATGCTCTTTCCCCCTTTTTTTAAACAAAAGGTATTTGACAGACATGGCATAGGGAACACGGTCTGGGATGGAAAAAAGAGGTTACAGCAACATTGCAATTTCACGAAGGCATACTTAAGATAATCAGCTAAAACCTGCTTTTTAAAAAAACAAACCCTGAAGGTAATTCTCTTCAGCAAATTTACACAAATTGAAACAACATTTATTTCAGCATAAATTTTTGTGAGTCACCACTCACTTCTTCAAAGGCACAAAGGGTACAACCCTTGAGACTAGTTCTTATATACAATAATCAGTCTATGGTTTTCCAGATACTCTCTTTTTGGCCTTCAGTGGGCCTTTTTAACTCTGGGCCAATTGACACCATTGGCTATGGTCTTCATGCAGACATCTGGTGCTCATATGTGTTGCATCTGATGAACAAAGTGGGCCAGTTTGGTGTAATGGTTAAGTATACAGACTCTAATCTGGGAGAACTGGGTTTGATTCCCCACTCCTCCACTTGCACCTGCTGGATGACCTTGGGCAAGCCATAGTTCTGGTCAGAGCTGTTCTTGAAAAACAGCAGTTTCTGTCAGAGCTCTCTCAGCCCCACCTACCTCACAGGGTGTTTGTTGTGGGGAAGGGAAGGGAAAGGAGTTTGTAAGCCACTCTGAGACTCCAAGTGAAGGGCAAGGTATAAATCCAAAATCCTTCTCCTCCTTCTCATGCATCCCAGGATGTGCATCTGCCATATCAAGGAAAATCTTGCCAGTGGTAATTATGTGCATACATGTTCTGCTAGACTGGAGATATGCCTGAGCAAGAAATGATCGCATAGACCCAGGCCTGCAAGACGTGTCTGGCAAAGCAGACTCTGGTCTATAAAAGCTTCTGCTACCCATAAATGTGTGAGGCTTCAAATTGCTGGTGGACTCCTGCTGTTACTTCACAGACTCATTAGCTCTAAGACTCTGGGCTGCCGCTATTTTTAGCCTCCTGCAAACCATAAGTTAAAAGGGTGTATTCCATTCCGAGAGTTCACTTTTTACCCAGGACCAAGATCTCCTGCATATTTTGCCATTGCAAGGGTATGGCATGGAAATGGCCATAAACCAGCAGAAAACACAAAGCTCTCTGACGAGGGCACACAGTATGGAAGTCAGCATAAGAAATCAGATGAGAAACCGACAGTTGGTGTGGTGTAATGGTTAGAGTACTGGACTGAGGTCTGGGAATCTCAGGTTCAAATCTCTGTATATATGACTATTAAGGGAGGAATAGGGGAAGGATTACCGTCAATGTCAGGGGATCAGGTCATAAACCCCCATTTATGATGCAGTTTGGCTGTCAGCCACACAGGCTTGCAACTGCATTTTCTCCCTTCCTTTTCCCTCCCATAGGAAACTGGTTGCTAAATCTTTCTTTCTGTGGTTGAAGTTCATCTCTCTGTTTCTCACTGCTGAACTGAGATCAGACAAGTAACCTCCAGGCCTCTCTTCCAACTGGTCTTCCCTCCTGCTGCGTTTTCTTGCTTCCTTTAGTGGAGTCTCTTTCTTCTCTTGCTATGATCCCATCTTTCTTCTTCAGTTCTTGCACACTGCATCACCTCCAACCCTCTGTTTCACCCAACAAAAGATCCACGTCTTTTATCTTGGCTGCACCTCCTAACTCTGATCCTGTTTTCTCTTCACTTCATGGGCTTTTCTCCCACACTGGTCGCTATGTGATGCTATCCCTCTATGGCTACCAAGACTTGATTTGGGCAGGATTCAAACCCGGGATCAGGGGATGGCAGGAATGGATTCAGCTTCTGCACCACCATCCAGTACTGGTCAAAGAAAGGAACTGCAATAAGACCTAATACTGTGTGTGTGTGTGGGGGGGGGAATAAAATTTTGGAGCCAAAGTGGGCCAGAGGACACCCAATGATCCTTAGAAAGGCTTTTGGATCTGGTTTTACTAGCTGATCTAACAACGAAAAACAAAGTAGATCCTCTATCACTGAGCCATGCCCCCCCCCATAAGCATTAACCAATTAGACAGAAGTTCAAACAAGTCCTACCATGCAACAGACACCACTTGGACAACTTGGACTAGTACCGATCTGTTTACAGCATGCACTCCTTCGATGGTTTAACAGCACAGCTGTTTAACTGTTTAATAAAATGCTTTATTCTGCAATAAAGCATTGTACTATAAAAAGAACACTCAAATTATGGCGCTTTAGCACTTGAGTAGGGGAGTGGAAGGAAACTGCTCTCACACACTGTGCCCCGGGGGCTTGTTTACTTGTTTCCAAGGGCTTGACATATCTTCTTTCGGGTGTGGCGGTCCCATTTATTTATTATTTGGAAGCAGTGATGTGGAGAGGAAAATTTTCTGATGCTGTATTTTCCCGTAGAAAAATTTCTTCCCCATATATGTAGATACAGTCTGTTTCTCCATAGTTGTCAGGGGCGGCTGTGCCGCAAATCAATCATGTTAGAGGGGCTAAATTTGGGATATGAAGCATGCACAAATCCCAGTACTTGCACATGTAGAGTATTTGCCTTCTTTTGCTAACATCATTAAATATTTCAATTATTTATTGCCTGATTCAAATTTCCCCAGGAAATAACATCACTATTTGGAAGTCACATCACCTCCCACTTCTACTCTTAAGACTACTCAAATCACTGGAATAGCAGCAGATGAAAAATGTCACCATCACCAGATATAAAATCAAATAAACCACAGATCAGGTCAACCAAACTAAAAACAGAGTAAAGCTATTAAAAGTGCTCAGCAGAAGCAGGTTGGAGGGAGAAGGAGCAGTCAAAATAAACTGTTTTTAAAAATGTTTGGAAATCAACTATGCCTGGAAGCTAAGAGAAAGGGGACCAGCTGCACTAGTGGCTGGGATTTCCACAAACTGGAAGCATAACCCGAAAAATCCCTGTCAAGAGTACCCAACAAGCTCAGATTTGACTAGTACATATTTTTGGAAATGACACCTGATCTCAGGTCTTGAGAGAGCCAGTTTGGTGTAGTGGTTAAGTGCGCGGACTCTAATCTGGGAGAACCAGGTTTGATTCCCTACTCCTCCTCTTGCTCCTGGCTGGATGACCTTGGGCAAGCCGTAGCTCTGGCACAGCTGTTCTTGAAAAAGAGCACTTTCTGTCAAGAGCTCTCTCAGCCCCACCTACCTCACAGGGTGCCTGTTGTGGGGAGGGGAAGGGAAAGGAGTTTGTAAGCCGCTCTGAGACTCCCTTGGGTAATGAAGGGCGGGGTATAAATCCAATCTCTTCTTCTCTTCTTCATATATGAACAGAGGTAGTCCTTCGTGTACTTTGAATCCAGTATTTTTAGGATTCTGAAGATCAAACACAGCACTATACTGAGCCCAGAAACAAAGTGAGAGCCATTGCAGGTGCTACGGCACTCATCGTATTTGTTCCTGTGTTACATGTTATGCCTTGGGATGGCACACGAGTCCTCTGGCATTTGTACCTGCTGCTGGTCATTTTCTGAGTCACATGCCAAGGACCTGGTCATGCCCTAAAGCCCTCTATAGACTCTGCCAGCACTGTCTCTCAAAATGCCTGCTCCTTTGTAAGCCCACTTTGAAGCCTGCCGCTCCAGGGCTCTGCCTTTGCAATCTTCTCCCCAGAGTCTCTCATTGCCTAAGTGATGTGTGTGAAGCCAAATTCGCCATCAT